TCAGTAGTAAATGGAGAACGTGTACGAGAATACAAGCGTTCGAGTTCTCTGCTCTAAGCTTGTGCTCTACAAGAACGAACACGGCCTCCAATGGCTGATCGGATCCCCATTCTTCCCGCCACTTAACGTCGTCTCCACCCTCAGATGCATCCACACCGATGCCACCTCTCCAGATTACCACAGAGAATCAGGTACCGAATTTCAGTTTGTTTCCCGAGAAAAAAAATTACAGAAATTCAATAATTGCGCTTTTTTCTCGAACATAATTTCAAACTCTGATTAGTTTCCGTTACCTGAGCAGAAGATCTTCGAACGTTACTGTTGAAAGGATTTGAGGTGATCGGAGCATTGATATTTGCAAATTCCGATGCTGAAAAGAACGCCGGCGAGGCAATTGCTGCGGCTCGAAGGTTGCGAAAGCTTTTCTGCGGTGAAAGAGAAAAAATGGATAGTCAACAAGTAATTGGAGCTGTTGCGGATTTGAACGGTGGCGACGTAAAGTTTTTCGTGTCGAAATCCGAGAGTTCTAAGAGCTTTGAATGTGTTAACGTGTTGTATGAAGACGATCCTGAGAAGTATATTTGGGAGAGGGGTTGTCTGCTCCGATGTGAGCTTCCGCTTAAGTTGCCGATCTATTATCCAGTAAACAAGCCGTCTGGTAAGTTGTTTCGGTGGTGCATTTTTTTAGAACTGCGTAATTTGCATTCAGAAATTTGATTGAGCAGTTCATGCTTTGTAGTTTGTTATGTTTCTTCTGTGAATTGGTTGGCTTCTAGTTCTAGATGAGCTACTGATTGTTCAGAGCAGAAGTGGGAAGTTAAGTTCAGGAGCTTTTACTCAATAAAATTTGTGCATAGTATGTTTACTGAAGTAACCTTGATGTATGTCTAGAAATTTAGGTTCAAGGAGTTATTAGAATTACTACACTTATAATTGTATACATTATTGAGGTTTTTGCTACAAAAATTTAAAGTATCTGGCATTAATAATTTTATTTGTTTAATTGACCTCTTTAAAGAATAAAGCTTTGTTGAGTGTCAGTTAACGAAACTATGAGCCAGAATGGTTCATGTTCACCTTTCAGTTTTGCCCTCAGACCTTCTCATTCATTTCTAATTTCATACTTGCAATTTGACAAACTTTAGCCACTATTCACTCCATGTGGTTCATCGGAATTGATTTGAATGTTCACTTCTCGTGTGTTGTATTAGATTTGGAAAAGATATTTCGGCGTGCAACTGAAGCAGTTGTTGCCAAGTTCAAAGATCCAAAGATTGCATACATGGTAGAAGCATTAAGAAAAAATTCTGCTGAAGTACCTCAACCTGTCATCCTTCGTGGTGTAGATTTGGATTTTGACACAGATCTCTCAAATGTCAAACTTTTGGATGAAAGAGCTCAAAATTCTGATGCAGATTCTTTATCATGTTCGCACTTCTGTCTGGAAAGTAAAAAAGGCTCACCAGTATATTCTGCTGAGGTAAGAAAAAGTGTAAGAGATTAATTGGGGCGTTAGTTTGCTTATGTTGGATCTTGGAACGCAACTATTTGGGTAGTTTGTTTTTATTTTCTTTCAGCAATAACAACGGATATTGGAATTCAATTTTTGAATACCTTTCCTGCTTAGCATGCAGATAGAATCCAAGTGAGTGTTCTGCTGAATAGGTCAGTTAACTCTGAAAAGTCTACTGCACCTATTGCAGAATATTTTCCAGGTATTGCTTTGAATTTTAATCACATAATCATATTTATTTTCGAGTATGAAGCTTTGTAATGGAATCTAAAACAAGTGGTTTCAGCTTTGGAAGAAGCCAGAGTTTTGGTGGTAGATTATAAGCTAGAAGTGCTCTGCTATGCAGTCAAGGGTCTCCCACTGAGGCATGCAGTTTCAAAGTTAATTATCCCAGGGTTGGTTGATCAGTTTAATTTAGTGGGAAATACAATCCTGCCGAACCTGTTAGCACAACATCCTCAGGTAAGGCAAACCATTTCTTGTATTATATACATGACTACTAATTGAACCCTAAAATTCAGAAAAAACAAGATTATCTCTTGTACACGTGAATCTTTTCTGTTTCACTATCTCTTTCCATGTGCATGCTGCCTGCTATTGGGATACATAAGGACATCTTCTGGTCAAAGGCCAATTGTTGGTTGGTGAATCCTTAATGCTTCACAATTCAGGCTTTGGGTTTACCAAAAATTCTTTTTCTAAGAAACCGTTTTTCTCTCCTTCCTTTTTTATAATCAAAAGAACGAGTCTTATTGGCATTAACCTCATTCCACTATACAATTTTCTCTTCTTATTTCAAATATAGACTACCTTTCACAGTGTGCTTGTGCTCACATTCATTCACCTAATTATGGACTAGCAAATATGTGGGCACGCTAGAAAACCTTAAGCTCTATCTAGGAATTCCCAGAATATCTGATGCTTTATTCATAGAAATGTTATATAAAGAAGCTAGTATATTAATGAGTATCAGAACAACCAGACCTAACTTTCCTCTTTTGACATGGTTGTGGTAAGTCCGAATATTGTTCTCATAGTATTTTCATTCCATTATTTTTATTTAAATTCTGAATGCAACTATTTGGTTTATTGCATTGCCAGCTACATACCTATCACTTTAGCCCTCCTGGTGTTCTGCATCCAACTACTGTTGTCTATGAACTCAACTATGGGGAAACAGAAATGAAGCAAGGTAGGCAGTGGTGATGTTGAACTTTTCCTCTTCCAGGGAACAATATATTTAGGGTAGAATAATTTCAAGTGGCTCCTAGCTGGAAGTTTAGAGGTTGTTCTTTTTTATCGTCAAGATGTAGAATAAATCCTTTCATTTCTTGCATGATAAAAATATAGCGTTTGGTTCAGTGCTTGTGAATGTGGAAAAGGGTGTATTATGTTTTTAGATGCAGGTTTTTAGAGAGGGAGCTTGTACAAGGTTCTTTTGGAATTTGATTGTTGGATTACTTTTCTTAATCTTGTCTTTGCTTTCTGCAGTTGAAGTGAGGAAATCTTTACACTTAAGACTGGGTTTGCCTTTCGATCGGCCTCTTTTAAGAATTGCCAACGCTCTGGATTTCTCTACGAGGGATGGCATAAGGAGTGACCCGACACGGAAGGGTAACCATTTTCCTTTAGATAGGCAACTCCGTTTGTCAGTTGCAAGGCTTTTATTCCCCCCCATATCCCCTCTCCAGAAGGAAAAGTTTTAATTTTTCTTTTCTTTTCTTTTTTCTTTTGGAGTAGTCACTATTTTGATACATTTCTGTGGTAATATCAGGTTCTACTTTGCTCAAGGATGTACACCTTGGGATTCCAAGCAGTGGGGGTTGGTGGCTGGTCTTGTTTCTTTGTATATTCCCTTTCCCTGCTTCTGATTAGTGGAATTTTATTTGGAACCATTGTGTCTTTATGCAGTTTCAGGGGGCAGTGTGTCTATGGTGCAAGGCTCGTATGAATACTACCATTATCTACAAGAAGCATTTAATGATTCTGTAATTTTCACAATCTCCCATACCTAGTAGTTATAATATCCTGTTGAGAATACATGTTCAACTTTGCTTAGTTTGAATTTTCGCAATTAATTATATTAAATATGTCTATCAAGTGTTGTTCTGTTTCCTTGCTAGGGGTGGGGTTGTGCTTATCGTTCTCTACAAACTATAATTTCATGGTTCAGACTCCAACATTATACATCCGTAGAAGTTCCTTCGCATAGGTATGAAATGTGCCCCAGTATAGCATTTGCTCTGCTATTTAATTCTTTTTGAAGCCCTTCTTGGTAGTTAGTTGCTCATCCCACATTTTAGAGATATTTGAAGTCGTCATGAACTACTGACCACTGTATTTAAAGTTGGGTTTTTATATATATCTTAGTTGAAGTTATTCCAATGCTGTTACTCTGTTAATCTGAAAAGAAATTCGCACCATAAATAAAGCCCTTGTTTCGTTTTGACCTTTCAACATCATTTAATGTCTTTCCTCTTTTCTTTCTATTTGGCGCTAATTATCAGTGTCATACGATTTGATCTGACAAGCCAAGTGATATCAGGGAAATACAGCAGACACTTGTAGAGATTGGTGATAAAGATCCTTCTTTCATTGGTTCACGCGAATGGATTGGTGCCATTGAATTGAGCTTTGTTCTGGACAAGCTTTTGGGTGTAAGTATCATCAGCGTGGTTTACAGGTAATTTCTCAAATAAGATGCTTTGGGGTTTAACCTGATTGGTTTTTGTATTGAACAGGTTAGTTGCAAAATCATAAATGTTAGATCTGGAGCTGAGCTTCCAGAAAAATGTCGAGAGCTGGCCTTGCACTTTGACAATCAAGGAACACCTATTATGATAGGTTAGCATATTTGACGCTTCTCTTGATTAAAAGATAGGATGGAAATTTTGCAGAAACAATTAAAGAACAATAAAAGAGAAGAAATCTTCTCTTATAACTTAATACGTGGATGCAGGTGGTGGTGTTCTTGCATATACCCTCTTGGGAATTGATTACAATGAAGCAAGTGGAGATTGTGCGTTTCTAATACTCGATCCTCACTATACCGGCAACGACGAGCACAAGAAAATTGTAAACGGCGGATGGTGTGGGTGGAAAAAGGCTGTTGATATCAAGGGAAAGAGTTTCTTTTTGCATGATAAGTTCTATAATCTTCTGCTTCCACAGAGGCCTGACATGGTTTGATCTATACAAAAACCATCCAATCTATACAAAATGGAGAAGGCAGTTTTCTAGGAAGTTACGTGCTATGAAAGGTAGATTTAGATTAAATGAAAGCCATTATCTATGTAGGCATTTGTTCTCAACAATATTTATATATAAAAAAATCCCATTCTGTAATTTGAATACAGTGAATTACAACTAGATTATATAATTTGAGAGTTCTTGACCTTTAGTTTCAGAAGTTTCTAACATATTTTCTGTTTTGTTAAGGAAAAAAAGGTAGACATCAATATGAATCTAAATTCTAAACCATAAATTTTCAATTTGCACCGGTCTCAGCATCAGCAGCAGCAGCAGCCTGGCCATGGTGAGTGATTTCATCATATGCTCCAGTCTCCTCATTGAACGAGTACCATAGCCCAGAAGCAGCAGAGCAATAGAGTCCAGTAGATGGATCATAATAATACCCCAAACTGCTGCTATAATAGTACCCAGAAGACTCATCAAACAAATAATCATTCTCCAATTGCGACGGACCACCATCTGAATTCGATGCTTGAGCAGTTGCATCTTCATCTTCTTCACCAAACATATCATATTCATCTCCAGCAGATTCAGCACCATTATTCGTACCCAATGCCGCGCCTTGGCTTCTTGCCCTAGCTAAACTCTCGTACCCTTGAGCCTCACGCTCAAAAATCTCCCTCTTCTCATGATTCACATTGTACTCCCCATACTTGTCCATCAGGGTCACAGCATCCTCTGTCAACTGATCGAAAACCCGCTTTGTCTCAGCGGGCATCTTCTCCTTCTTGTTCCTTGCAGAAGAAGAAGCTCCCTTCAACCTCCTCAAAGCCTGCAAAACAGTCTCTCCATCCTCCAGCACATTAGCAATGCGCCGTTTAATCTTCCCAATATCATCACCATCAGACAAAGGTAACTCTTCACCATCACCATCACCATCACCATCACCATCACCATCTTCATCTTCTGTTTTCCGAGCATATAATTTTGTCTCACCAGCTTCAACACTATCAAGCCAAGCATCCTTGACCTGGTTCTTCTCATTGGGGGCATATTCAACAAAATTCCCATCCGCATCAAAATAACCCTCTTCCCTCTCCTTATCCAAGTTGAAAGGCTCTATTGGAATCCCATCCTCCATCAAGTTCTCAGAGTCCAATCCTTCGTATGAAACTTCCGCCTTGGACACATCTTCGCCAATCCCATCCTCCCCAAACCTGTCGTGATTTCTCTGGCTCCGTCGCTTCTCTCGCTCTTTGGCGGCAGAATGAGGGTCCGCCAACCCAATCCCAATCCCAATCTCGTCGTCGTCCTCGGCTCTGCGTATATTTACCGCTTCATCTCCCAGCCTCGCCTTCTTCCCCTTTGGAAACCTAAGCCTCTTTTCCGCTGTGGGTTTGCCGGAATCGGAATCGGAATCGGACTCTTCGGAGATCACCTTGCGTTTCAGATTTGATCGTGATGGCTGATTCGATTCCATTGAAGAAATTTGATCGTAATTGTTAGCTGATGGGGTAGGGCTCCCTTTTTATAAAGAGTTTTTTCACCCGGTTTGAGCTACAGGACAAAAGCGATCTATCCTATTGTAAAGAGGAAACAGAATCCTAGTGTGAACTGGACACCCACCCACATTTTTTCTCTTGTAGTTTATTTAAATACAAACGATATTAGAGAATTTGAACCTGAAAAAACGGTTATTGGAGGTGGTGGAAATCAAACTTAGAACTTCATATGCATGGATAAATGCTCTAGGGAATATTCGGGAATGGCGGACGGGTTGGCAGGAAGGGAAAGAAAAGGAGTAGGGGTTTGGGTGTTCAAGAGTAGAAGAAGTGAAACTTTGGGTAAAAATGAGGCGCGGGTGTCCAAAGAATATCCTTGGGTGTCATATCATTCTCTAAAGTCCAATTACACGTTATGCAAAACTGGGATTTCTAACTTGTTAGCCCAAGTATCAGCAGCCCATCTTCTTCTGCCATAACCCAAACCAGAAAACGCACCGTTTAGGGCCTGTCCGTCTTCCCTGTCAATATTGTCGAACAGCACATTTCCCAGGAGGTAGTGCTTTGCTTGCTAGTACCAGCAGCAACCTATCCAAAAAGCCAAACCATGGCTCTGATAAGCCAACACCTCACTCTTCCTCCACCATTTCCCTTCCTTCACAATCACTCTCCAAACTCTCCCTTCTCAAAGCCTTGCCTCTTTGTGTTCTCCAAAAACCTCAGACTTTTCTCTCTGCACGCAGCTTCCTCCTCCTCCACTCCCACTCCTCACTCCTCAACCCCCATTTTCCTTCCCTTTCTCCAAGACGACGACGACGACGAAGAAGAAGAAGAACCAGAAGGCCTGCAAGAACTTGAAGAAGAAGAGGAGGACCCAGATGATCCAATTCTCAGATTCTTCAAGTCTCGCAGTTCAACCCAGGACCCTCAACGTGAAGGCAAGCTCTCTCTTCAAAAGAACCGTCGCTCTTCTTGGCGTTTAGCTGACGATACCCAACTCGTAGACGAATCAGAAACTGACTCTGGCATCGAAGGAGTGCTTGAACAACAAAAGGAACAAGCCAGACAATTGAATTTTGATTCAAGGGCGTTGTCCGAGGAAATTGTCGAAGAAATTTTGCAAAAAGCAAGGACGCTGCCTCAAAACTTGACATTGGGAGAGGTATTGGGAGGTTTTGAAGGAAGGGTTGGTGAGAAAGAGTCCGTGAAAGTGTTGGAGTTGATGGGCAAGGAGGGCCTTTTAATGGGTTGCTTGTATTTCTATGAGTGGATGGGTTTGCAGGAAACTTCTCTAGTTACTCCTAGGGCGTGTTCAGTTTTGTTTCCTATGTTGGGGAGAGCTGGAATGGGCGATAAGTTGATGATTTTGTTTAGGAATTTACCAGCTAAGAAGGAGTTCAGGGATGTTCATGTTTATAATGCCGCAATTTCTGGCTTAATGTGCTCTAAGAGGTATGATATGCTTGGTACTTTTTTTTAGTTTGCTCTATAGTTGTTTGTGGTCAATTTGTAGTGATATTAGGAATTGTAGGCTTACCAGTAAGTTTGTTCATAGGAAGAGTATGAGGATCAACAAAATGATTGACATTAAGTCATAAGTTAACTAACATATAATATTTTCATGCAGAAAAGTATGTTGTATAAATTACATAATGAGTTACTGGCAGTTTGGATCATCAGCTTTCTGTTCTGTGCATGTTTCTGTAGACCCAAGGCAAACTTGAATTATACTATCTTCTTAATATAACTGGTTTAATTATTAGTTGAAAAAAAAACAAATTTTTTGGCAAAGCTATGGCTATTGGTGTGCTACTCGAATGGGCAATGATTTCAGATAATAACGCAACTTGCTAGAATTCATTGCTAATACCTGCCAAATTATTTCAGGTATGATGATGCTTGGGAGGTATATGAGGCAATGGAAGCAAATAATACCCTTCCGGATCATGTGACATGTTCAATTATGATTACTGTCATGAGAAAAGTTGGCCGTAGTGCAAAAGATTCATGGCAGTTCTTTGAGAGAATGAATAGGAAAGGCGTCAAATGGAGTCAAGAAGTTTTGGGTGCTCTTATAAAATCATTCTGTGATGAGGGGCTGAAAAGTGAAGCCCTTATCATTCAAGTAGAAATGGAAAAGAAAGGGGTCTCATCAAATGCCATTGTTTATAATACTTTAATGGATACTTTTTGTAATTCCAACCAAGTTGAAGAAGCTGAAGGTCTCTTTGCTGAGATGAAATCAAGAGGCATCAAACCAACAGCAGCCACCTTCAATATTTTAATGAGCACATACAGCAGAAAAATGCAGACTGAGATTGTTGAGAAGCTGCTGGTAGAAATGCAGGATATGGGATTGGAGCCAAATGTCAAATCCTATACATGTCTTATCAGTGCGTATGGGAGGCAGAAGAAGATGAGTGACATGGCTGCAGATGCATTTTTGAGGATGAAGAAAGCTGGTATAAGTCCAACTTCACATTCTTATACAGCTCTCATTCATGCATTTTCAGTCAGTGGCTGGCATGAGAAAGCTTACATTGCATTTGAGAACATGCAAAAAGAAGGCTTAAAGCCCTCCATAGAAACATATACTGCTTTACTGGATGCATTTAGGCGTGCTGGGGATGCACAGATGTTGATGAAAATATGGAAATTGATGATCAAAGAGAAGATTGAAGGGACTAAGGTGACATTCAACACTCTTCTTGATGGATTTGCTAAACAAGGTCACTATACTGAAGCAAGAGATGTGATTTCTGAATTTGGGAATATAGGTTTGCAGCCAACAGTGATGACATATAATATGCTGATGAATGCATATGCACGGGGAGGGCAACACTCAAAGTTGCCGCAGCTGTTGAAAGAGATGGCAGCTCTCAATTTAAAACCTGATTCTGTAACATACTCGACCATGATCTATGCCTATGTCCGTGTTCGTGATTTCAAAAGAGCATTTTTCTACCACAAGCAAATGGTAAAAAGTGGACAAATGCCAGATGCCAGGTCTTATGAGAAGCTTAGGGCAATTTTGGATGTAAAAGCTGCAAGAAAGAACAAGAAGGACAGGAGTGCTATACTCGGTATAATTAATAGCAAAATGGGGTTGTTGAAAATTAAGAAGAAGGGAAAGAAAGATGAGTTCTGGAAGAACAAGAAAAAGCGCTACGTGAGAACTGATAACTCACAGTGATAATCCTATTAATGGAGTTGTGGCACGAAGACCTATCTTCAGCTCATGGCATTCCCTTCAAACTTTCAGAAAGTTTATCAGATAGTTGTTTCATCTCAGGGCACACTGTCTAAGTTGGGAACTTGGAGAAAAGCAAGACCACACCAAAGTTTTATGGTGAAACACTCTACAAGATTTGTATGGCCCTTCGCTAAACAAGAGGATTGGCTGCAGCTGATGTATGCCAGTTTCCATTAATGTGACTAGGTAAGCATATCTGTTCATATCTCAATATCAATATAAGGTGAAACATTCTTATGCCAGTGCCCTGTACAATAACAATTGATCTGTAATACAAAGTTTTACGTGAAGCATTCATGGTTTTTCTCTTCTTCTATTTATTTGCAGTCTAATCTTATTCGGCGCGGATAAAATATGAGCCTCTTGCTTTTGTATGCTTTAGAATTTTGGAGGAAATTTCATTTCAACCAAGCTTTTCTGCTGTGGCTAGGAGGAGTAAGCTGACTGACAACCATTGAAGATTAGTAGGCTTACAGATTCTTGTTCTTCCTGGTGCACAAGTCCCAGGCAGATTTCTCTTCCCAGGTCCACTTCTTTTCTAGGGTTGGCCGTGGCCTGTTCAGTCTTCAAGAGGACAATAGCAACTCCATATACAGTCGTAATTATTCCAAAATCCAGTTGCAACATCTTTTTCATATGCTTTGATGCGAAGAATCATCATGTTATCTGGCTTTCTTTGAAAATCTAAGAATGAAAGGAACCGCATGAGAATCAGGAAGCCAAAATCTCTTGAGAATTCAACCTTGTCTGATTGGTGAACTAGAACTCCATTCACATCAAGTTGATGAAGGCTCAACTTAACGGTTTTCCTATATAGTTCTGGTTTACATTTCAAGTTACTTTACTACTTCTCTTAACTTTCGGTTCAATGAAAGTTCGAATTTCCATTTCTTTACGTCATTTTGCAAAAATTCTTGGGTAGGGCGGTCACACTGCAGTGAAAGTAATATCTTACTTGTTGACTTGTTAATCTCTTGTTCAAATACTTTTTGACTTGCTCGCCGACCAAAAAAATTACTTGTTGAGTTTCGCAAATTTACTTGAGATAACGGCCATGGTAATTCTTCTGTCATAATGTCAGCATTAAAAACTTTACCATCCCAAATTTTCAGCCCTAAATTGACTTCTTATTACGAATAATGTCAACTGTTTACTACACGAAACATAATTAAATGATTGCTATCTGTGTTCTCTTTTAATAAATATTTGGGAACAAAGATAACCTGATTAGGACAAAACGACAAAATTAGGGGTAGTTGGGTAAATTCGGTACGACTGCCCAACGAAAACCCTAACCCGGTTAGAGCGGAGCCGGGTGGAAGCACAAGACAGGGGCACAACAGTGGTGCTGCCTTAAGCGCGTAGGCCACGTGGACGGTCCTATCTCTAATACACCAAAAACCCCCTAATGATGACGTGTAAAATCGTAACCGTAGCCTCCCTATAAAACCCTCCGCTTCCTCATACTTTCGTTCTCATCCATTTCCTCTCTCTTTCTCTCTCTCTCTCTCTCTCTCATCTTCTCTAACCGATTGGGACAGACACTGTCACTCGCAGATTCGGATCCACCGGTTTATGATAAACCCGGACCTTCTCTGATCCATTAGATCGACGTCGTTTAGTTTCGAGGCTCGGAGTTGCTGCTCGTCGTTTCGGTGATTTCAGTGGTCTTCGGAGTTCGACTTGGATATCCGATTGCTTCTCCTGTTCTTGGCTCGAGATCCGGGCCAAGCACAGAAGAAACGGGCTCTGGCTTTGGATTCGGTACTCTTAGACTTCACACAGACAGGTACTCTGGCTTTCTTTAAATTTTGTTTTACGCTTATGCGTCGTTTGCTTGGTTGCTGAGATAGGCTGGGAAAAGAAAGTAAAATGATGCATTTGGTGTTTGGTTTTCTCATTGTTTGGGACTCTGGAAAATGATATTTTAGTTTCACTGTGACTGAAGCTACATTTTGGTTGCTTCTTGTTTTTCTTTTTCGCACATTATTTATGGTTGTGTATTTCTTTAGTTTCCTTCAGTTTCTAAGTAGCCAAACAGCTTATAGTTGTATTGATTTTGTACTTAATACTCATACCTCTACGTGGTTAATGGTTAATAAGCACTTAAGCCGTTGGATTAGTTAATATTGCTCAAGTAAAATTTGCTTATACGCGTTTTTGTTTTCATTGAGTTAATAATAGAGTAACTGTAAAGACTAAAGTGGTTAATCTTTCTAATAGAAAGTAATTTTCAAGATCTAACACTCTATTATCTATTCGATATTAATATTGATATAGGATTTTTCCAGTGTAAATGGCCTCAAAGGAGGGATTCCTGACGAACGAGCAGAGGGAAACGTTAAAAATTGCGAGCCAAAATGTGGAGATTTTGTCATCATCCCCGAAATCTCCGACATCTTTTCTTTCGGAACATCATGTAAAAGCCCCTGCTGGTGGGAAGGCACCAACAGCTGGGATAGCTGTGCGGCATGTTCGCCGGTCGCACTCAGGGAAGTTTGTGCGAGTGAAGAAGGGTAAGTTCCCTTTCGGCTCTTTCTTGACTGGGGTTGATCTTATGTTAGCTTATGAAGAGTTAAAGAGATTGGGACTGTATTTTCCTGTGACGCTCTTAAGAAATTTTGTTGCTTATATACCAATGTTTCTTATTTCAATCAATTGTGCTTTTAACTTTTTCTTAAGTAAATGATCGGTACTCTAGTTTTACAGTGCCTGGGGCTCTAGTATTCATTATTATAGTTCGTTTTATAGTAGTTGGAGTCATGTATCGTTTTGGTGTTTGTGAAAATCAACTGCAGTGTGCACAATTATGCATCTCATGCATGAATGGATCTTTCTTCCTTCGAAGCTGCGTGTTTAGCTTAATTTATCTGTTGTTAGGGTCTGAATGAACTCTGCAAGATTCATGACTGATCTATTCAAACCCGGGTAGTGTTTGTAATTTACATTTGGGTTAATGGTAGAGTCATTTTCTTTCTTGCTTTTCAAGTTTAGATTTGATGTTGTTTTGTGGTGCTGGATTGATGATACTGTCCCTGATTGTTGAAATTACCTATTCCTGGAAGGGATTGATTTCTCTTTTCTTTGTCTAATGGCAACAGAGGGAGGCGGTGGTAAGGGCACATGGGGAAAACTGCTTGACGCTGATAGTGAATCCCCTATTGATCGCAATGACCCTAATTATGATAGTGGCGAGGTAAAATATTTTTTAAAGTTTAGTTTCAATCCCTTATTGATTGCAATGACCCTAACTGTGCTCTGATTAGGTGGATGGAATATTCTGATTTTTAATTTAAAGACTCTGGTTTCAGCAGGAACCATATCAACTTGTTGGGTCAACTATCACAGATCCCTTGGATGAATACAAGAAAGCCGTTGTTTCAATCATTGAGGAGTACTTCAGCACTGGTGATGTGGCATTGGCAGCATCTGACCTCAAAGAACTAGGCTCAAGTGAATATCATTCTTACTTCATTAAGCGACTTGTTTCCATTGCCTTGGACAGGCATGATAAGGAGAAGGAAATGGCTTCAGTTTTGCTTTCATCTTTGTATGCTGATGTCATTAGCCCTATCCAGATTAGAGATGGATTTTTCATCCTTCTTGAATCTGCTGATGACCTTGCAGTGGACATACTGGATGCAGTAGACATCCTCGCTTTGTTCCTTGCTCGTGCAGTGGTTGATGACATCCTTCCTCCAGCCTTCCTCACCAGGGCAAAGAAAGCACTCCCGGAATCTTCAAAGGGGGTTCAGGTTATCCAAACTGCTGAGAAGAGCTATCTTTCAGCTCCACACCATGCAGAACTTGTGGAAAGAAGGTGGGGTGGTAGCACCCACATTACTGTTGAAGAGATGAAGAAAAAAATTTCTGGTCTATTGAGGGAATACGTAGAAAATGGAGATACTTTTGAGGCCTGTCGGTGCATAAGGGAGTTGGGAGTTTCATTCTTTCATCATGAGGTTGTGAAGAGGGCTTTGATTCTTGCCATGGACATTCGAACATCAGAACCACTAATAATGAAGCTATTAAAGGAAGCGGCTGAGGAAGGGCTGATTAGTTCTAGTCAAATGGTAAAGGGGTTTTCTCGTTTGGCAGAGACCCTTGATGACCTTGCTCTTGATATTCCATCAGCAAACACCTTGTTCGAGTCGCTGGTCCCGAAGGCCATATCTGAAGGTTGGCTTGATGCATCATTTTTGAAATCCTCTGGTGAAGATGGTGGCGTACGAGCCGAAGATGAAAAAGTGAAGCAGTACAAGAAAGAGATTGTGGCCATAATTCATGAATATTTTCTCTCAGATGACATTCCGGAGCTTATCCGGAGCCTTGAAGATCTTGGGGTACCCGAATATAATCCATTATTCTTGAAGAAGCTGATCACCCTTGCAATGGATCGAAAAAACCGTGAAAAGGAAATGGCATCTGTTCTGCTTTCTGCCCTTCACATTGAGATCTTCTCAACTGAGGACATAGTTAATGGGTTTGTCTTGCTTCTTGAATCTGCAGAGGATACTGAACTGGACATTTTGGATGCTTCAAATGAGCTTGCGCTTTTCCTTGCAAGAGCTGTCATTGATGATGTCTTAGCTCCCCTGAATTTGGAAGAAATTGGCAGCAAGTTGCGACCAGATTGTAGTGGGAGTGAGACTGTTCGAATGGCTCAATCACTAATTTCTGCTCGTCATGCTGGTGAGAGGATCTTGAGGTGTTGGGGAGGCGGGACCGGCTGGGCTGTGGAGGATGCAAAGGACAAGATAGCAAAGCTGCTGGAGGAGTATGAGAGTGGTGGTGTAGTGAGTGAAGCCTGCCAGTGCATTCGTGATCTTGGGATGCCCTTCTTCAACCATGAGGTGGTGAAGAAGGCACTGGTCATGGCCATGGAGAAGAAGAATGACAGGATGCTTCACCTGCTTCAGGAGTGCTTCAACGAAGGGCTGATCACAATTAACCAGATGACTAAAGGCTTCACCCGAATCAAGGACGGGCTAGATGATTTGGCTCTTGACATTCCGAATGCAAGGGAGAAATTCAGCTTCTATGTGGAGCACGCGCAGGAGAAAGGGTGGCTCCTTCCTTCCTTCGGATCATCTGCTGCGGATGGCTCACACTGACCCAGGCTGCAGCTTCTTGAGAAGAACATATATTTTTCGATTGCTTCTCTCTCATGTATGTTGTTGCCCATGAGCTCTGTGTACTGTTTACAATCTTTGTTTTCTGCACTTTTTTAAAAGGTGGGATGTGGGTGGTATTGGGATGTTTAGATTTTTGTTCTGATGTTTTTCTGTTATTAGCGGTAAAATCTGATCGACGAGATTATAGTGATCCCACTGCCAATGTATAAAGTTGGTTCTCTTCGCTTATATTGACATCTTTTTAAGTTTTACAGCCTAAGGGGTTCGTTCCTCTGATGCTCTGCTGTTGGATTTTGCTACATTTTCTTTTTCTTTTATTATTAAACATGCAATGGTTCCTTTATACGAAGAAAGAAATTGCACCCATTCCCCGAAGTTCTTTGTGTACTCAGGCTACAAACGTTGTAACTTCTTGTTCTCTTTCGATGCACCACTAAAGCCCGCATTCTTGTTTTCTTGGACGACAACGACATCGTTCCTTGCTCTCAACTCTAGGCATTTTGATGAAAAACATGGCCTTAGCCAGTAACCTAGCTGATTATCTTACTCATTTACACATGATTGAAATTTTTAGTCCTTAAGGATTTCATTTAACAACCAATTTATGTCAACCCACAGATAGAGCAACCCAACCCCTTGGTGTGTGCTCTTGGCTGAAGAGATTGAAGTTCCCAATTGTAAACCAAGCAAAATTAATGTTGTACTAGTTCCGAGTTCGATACATATTTCAGTTACCACAAATTTATATGGATTTTATTGATTTGTTTTATCTAACTGTATGTTTTGAGTTTGGCTAGTGCAAGTATGTGTGTGTATATTTTTAGTACAAGCGATAATTTAAACTAGAAGAAATGAGATTTCTTACACACACAAGATGCCATGGAAATTCAAACCTGAAACCTTTGATTTGCAAGTTAAGGTTTTTTTCCATTAGATTATACCTCATTAGCATATCTTATATATGATAAGGACATGCAATTCGTATTTCGATCCCCAAATTAATAAATACTACAAGGCATCAGACAAACAATAATGGCAGTCTACATCCTCTCCCATTAGCTATAATAAATGAATGCTTGAAATTCAGAGTTTGCTTGCATACATGAAACATATCCCAATATGGCTGGATAAATTCCCGAAGAAAATATTTTACAAGGAAGAAAATATTTTACAAGGGAATCCGCCATCGCTTTCAAGCCTTCACATATTTAATTGGTTTATTAATAAACTTAGCCTCAGCGTCCTCCCCATCTTCAAGGACAACCTCATTAGTCCATAGCTTATTCCATTCTAGAAAAGGACGAGATCATTGTAAAAATGGCGAGGACGCTGACGCTGGCACTAAATTTATCGGCAATGTAGAGGCTCGAAAGCGATGGCCGAAGCACTGCAAGAGGAAGATGAAATATTTTCCTAGTTTATTGAAGATCAAGTGTATTGGAGCAAATTTTACACCACTGGACAATTCCTTCCTAGTTCGTGATGTCGGGAGTCTCAAGAACTTTATTATATGCTGGCAGGGGTTTGATTTCTTAGGGTTGGGATGAACCACATTAAAGCATATGTGTGTGGGTATGCTTAATGGGCCTAATATTAAAAGAATATCTCAAGTATTTTTTTTAATCTTTCAGCCCAATAGAAATATGTACGATAAATTGTAAAGAAAAATATCAATTTTCATAAAGGCAAAACGAATCGTTTCGGTTGTTCCCTTCCGTTTATAGGTTTTGTTTTGTTCTGGGCAAAGTGGTCATTTTCTAGTTGTTAAACTCTGTTTGGTTGCTGAGAAAATCGACCGAAAGAAAAGGGAAAGAAAATGGGAAAACCTCGCTTCTAAGCAAAAAGTCTTCCAAACGTTTACTGTTTATTTCTTCGCCTCCATTGGTGGAAGCACAAAAATGTCCGAACGGAACGATTCTCAGCCGTACACAGTGCCGCAGCTCGCAACCCCAAAGAGCTCAAAGCCGCCACAGCCGCTACAGGTCACCGGTTTGGCTGCTAATCTCAACGTCGACCCTCCTGAAACGGACGGTGCGATTCCTTCCACGTGTCAGCACCAGACCTCATCAGTTTTCTCTCTCCTTCCCCCTTTCCCAAAAGTAACGTGTAATAAGGACACTGACACCAGTGAAGCTGAAGGTAAACGATTAAACAAACTGGGGAAAAGCAGGTCAAGGAATTGTAAGGCAGAGTGTTCTATGGATTATGGAGCTGATGCTGATGGCTACTTGCCTGGTCAAGGCGTTTCGTCGTCTCGTGAGGAGAAAGTCAGCAGCCTCAAAACTGTGAGGACCCTTTTCAATGGTGGTTTTGTGTTTGCTTCTTTCGCATCATTTGCTTTGTTTTTATTATTTATTGACATGGTTGGTGGGTGCATTTTGCTTGTAGGGTTTGGTTCATGTTGCAAGGAGGATGCCTAAAAATGCCCATGCTCATTTTATACTGGGTTTAATGTATCAGAGATTGGGGCAGCCTTCAAAGGTAGCTTTTTTTATTTTCCTATGGCTCTTTAATTTGATTACTTGGTTGTAATGGATGTTTTCATGTTCTGGGTTTTAGGCAGTTTTGGCATATGAGAAGGCAGAAGAGATTTTACTCCGCCCTGAGGCTGATATCGATAGGCCTGAGCTGCTTTCACTAGTTCAAATTCATCATGCACAGGTGAAGTAGTCTTTTACTACATTGTTCTGTACACTATTTATTCTTTTAGATAGATATGAAAGTTACTGACACAGCTGGTATTTTTGTCAATTGTGTAGTGCCTTATGCTAGAAACTTTGGGGGATAGCAGTTTCGACAAAGAACTTGAACCTCAAGAGCTTGACGAAATTAATTCGAAACTAAAGGAGTCAATGCAGTCAGATGTAAGACAGGCAGCTGTCTGGAATACCCTCGGCTTGATTCTACTTAAAACTGGCCGTCTGCAGGTACAAGTTTTTAATTTTGTTATTGGTAATAGTTGTTCTTTCTTTTTCCATTTTCTGATATGGACGTTTTTATTACTGTTTAGAGTGCTATTTCAGTTTTGTCTTCTTTGTTAGCTGTTGCCCCCGACAACTATGATTGCCTTGGAAACCTTGGGATTGCTTATCTTCAAAAGTAAGAGTGTATACATGTTGATAGAATAATGTTCTCTTCAATGTTTTGACCTCTTATATATCTCTAACTTAAAATGATTGCAAATGGTCTTTTCTTCAGTGGAAATTTGGAACTTTCAGAAAAATGTTTTCAGGAGTTGATCCTCAAGGATCAAAATCATCCCGCGGCCTTGATAAATTATGCTGCCCTTCTTTTATGTAGATATGGTTCAGTTGTTGCAGGTATGCTTTTGATGAAGTTGACTAGTTTCATGAACTCTTTTCTTTTGCTTTTTTTGCAGTACCTAATATGTAAATTTTTAAGATGGTGGATACTGGTCAATTTTTTTAGAATGCTGCTTTATCATTTTAAATTTGTGATAATGTCTGGTTGAAGAACCTGTATCCCTTGCTTAATTTTCAGGTGCTGGGGCAAATGCTGGTGAAGGTACTTCTGCAGATCACGTTTCTGGTATAAATGTTGCAAAGGAGTGTTTGTTAGCATCACTAAAAGAAGATCCTAAAGCAGCACATATTTGGGCTAATCTTGCTAATGCATATTATATAACTGGTGATCATAGAAGTTCCAGCAAGTGCTTGGAGAAGGTGCTCATGGCTCATTGCTACAATCATTTATAGCTTATTTCTTGAGGTTGTTCATTGGTGTCCTTATTTTTCATGGGTTTCATTTTCATTTATGGAAAATGATGATGCATAACTTTTTTCAATGCATGTCTTTCCAAATTTTATTTTATTTTATTTCTACGGGTCGAAAAATAGAACTTAAGAATGCACACTCTTTTTGCTCATTCTTGTGTTGCATGCATCACTTTGCTGCTTATCGTTTTTAGGAGGACAGTTTTATGCTCCTTTTACTACGTGGCTTCTACTCCATCCTTGACAAAATAACAAATTGGCTTAAGCTGTTTTTTCTTGCTACTGCTTGCTTCTTAGGCAGCAAAACTAGAGGTCAATTGTTGTATGTCTACTCGATATGCTATTGCAATCCACCGAATCAAGGATGCAGAAAGGTGTCAAGATCCTAGTGAACAACTTTCCTGGGCTGGAAACGAAATGGCTTCAATTATAAGAGATGGCGACTCTGCTTCAGTTGAACTTCCAACAGCATGGACAGGGCTTGCGATGGTGCACAAAACCCAACACGAGATTGCAGCAGCATTTGAAACTGAACAGAATACACTAATGGAGGTGGAAGAACGTGCTGATTATAGTTTAAAGCAGGTAATCACAACAGAGCTACTAAGATTCCATTTACTTCTCTTATCATGACATGACATGATAAAAGGTGCTCCTTATGTAATAATGGATGACATATTCAAATCGATTGGCTTTTATATACTGCACCGGACGATTCCACCGTTTATAGTCGAAAAGAATAGTCACATTAGGTTTTTCAAACCGGAAGAGACAGGATGTACACTTGTTCTTTGTAATATCATACATCTCTTCACAACCATCGTTTTCACATTTGCCTAATGTGACTGTAATAAACAAGATTTTTAGCTTTAGTTAAGTGACAAGTTTGTCAGAAATGTAGGAGTTGTGGGAAAAGGCAAAGTATTGGGCAACGCTATGGGCTTCTGTTTCTCCTATTTTTAGGAACACATTTTTCAGACATTTTGCTTGATTTGATTGGAAGGCTGCAGTGTCTTGATTAGGATTGTTTTCTTCTCATAATTGGAGATCTCTGTACTCATTTTACTGTTTCTTCCTGTTATTGGTGGATTACTTGTCCACCTTTTTGAATGGTTTTTTATGAATTTTTTTTTTTTCTCCTTTTAAAAAAATAATACAGATTGTAAGTTTCCTATCATATGTGACCCTTCATAATCCGTAGTCTGTGTTAGCAAAATTCAAAAAGAAAGTAACTTGCTTAATTCTGTTGTTGTATTTAAGTATGTTTACACCATGATTATTTGGAAAATCATATCCATGTCCAATACGATGCACTTGAATTTATGTTAGTCTGTTTCATGCAGGCAATAGCAGAGGATCCAGATGATGCTGTGCAATGGCACCAACTTGGTCTTCATAGCCTTTGTACTCAGAAATTCAAACACTCACAGAAGTACCTCAAAGCAGCAGTTTCCCGTTTTAGGGAATGTAGCTGTGCATGGTCAAATCTAGGTATCTCAATCTTAATACCGTTTTCTTATGTCTATATTTGTTTGGTTCTCTCTCTCTCAAGAAGTTGGTAAAGTTATTTCTCGTATACATACATCACTAGGTATCTCACTGCAACTATCGGAGGAGTCATCACACGCTGAAGAAGTATACAAGCGAGCCTTGGCATTGGCGACCACTAAACAGGCCCATGCTATACTCTCCAACCTTGGAAATCTCTACCGCCAGCAGAAGCAATATGAACGTGCCAAAGCAATGTTTACAAAATCTCTTGAACTCCAGCCTGGCTATGCTCCTGCATTTAACAATTTGGGTCTTGTATTTGTTGCTGAGGGACGGTGGGAAGAAGCCAAATTCTGCTTCAGCAAAGCCCTCCAGGCAGACCCATTGCTGGATGCTGCCAAGTCCAACATGATTAAAGCAGTGTCAGCATCAAGTTCATGTGCAGGCTTGTCAAGTCTTCGTCAAGATTAAATTGTAAGCAAGTGATAGGGTAGGCAAGGTTTCCTCAGCCAAGATTAGGGTTGTAAAACGGTATTAATTAATGAGAAAATGAGAAGTGGTGTTCCTCTGTACGCGCAAGCCTCATTCTTGCACATAATTGTCCACGAAGGGTTAGAGGTAGAGCTTGTTTTCCAGTCCAATGCATCCCAATTTTGTATCATAAGATAACTTTTCAAAACAGAAATAAGATTATTGTCCAACGACAAAATGTTCCTTTTTTTTCTTCGAACTCATTGAGATTGTTTTGGCTCTGTCTTTGGTTATGTTTGACCCGCACAAGAGGTCCTTGTAGACAAGTTCACTACGCTAGTTTGATTGATGTGAACGTCTGAAAACAGTGTCTCGATGTATAAAGTTGCTTCATTTTCCACCACTGGTTTCAACTTTGATTGCGCTAAGTCTTTTGATGAGAAAAGATGGTGGGTGGCATGTGAAGTTGAGGCCATAATCTAACTGATCATGTGGAGAAAAATCTAGAGTATGCTATTGGAAACAGTTATATACTTTCATGCTTACCCATTTTAGCTCTCATAAATTTTCTTTTCTGAGCCTCCACCAAACCTTAAAAAACTTACATGGCTGCAACCTTAGGAACTACCATGGCTATGCTTCATCATAGGTGCTTCGCCATCAAGTCCTCCAAAAATATGAGCACTTATAAACCAACCACGAAACCTATTTCCCTTCTGACCCTCAAAGACATACCTAAAAGCTTCACCCCCTTCAAATCTCCTATTAACTCCAAGTGTTCCACTTTGATCACCAGCACCATCGTTTCCACCTTGATTTCTTGCGGTCCTGCTTTCAGTGCGCAACAAATAGCGGAGATTGCAGAAGGCGATAACCGTGCCCTGGCACTCCTACTCCCCATCATTCCAGCTATACTGTGGGTGCTGTACAACATCCTTGGGCCAGCTTTAAACCAAATTAACAGAATGAGAAGTGAGAAGAGCAAGTGAATTTGGAATGGTTAGTGAAGCTTCAATTAGTAACAAGAGCTTAGTTTTGTTATTTGTTGCCACTCCTACCCTTCCTTGGGAGCTCTACAACACTCTTCAACCTGTGTAGCTAAGTTTTATTGTGAATAATTCATTGAATTGTGTAACGTTTACTTTTAACATATATTTCATAGAAAATTCTGTCTGATTAGATATATAAATGCTATGGAGATTCATCTCACAACCACCTGTTGTGATAAATATAGAAATTGACATTGGACTAGATCCAGCGTGAAAGAAATTCATAGCTTAAGATCATTCCAAAAGCTTGCCTTAGCAATAGAAGTCCCTTTAAATACTTCATCCAGATTCTGCTTGAGAATTGCTAATTTATACTTTAATATACATCAAGACTGCTACAAAATGCTGTGGCATTTATTTATTGTCTTAGCGGAAACCCTAATCACCATCCAAGGAATTTTTGATGGAACAGATAATTGCTGAAAACTATATGAGCTAGCTCACGTACTGCTTGAGAAGGCTTCTGCAAAATGCCAAGTCAAATCGCTCCTCTGGTGGATCTCCAATGAAGTCGAAGACTGCATCTGCATTCAGAAAGTCTTCATTGGCTGTGTATCTGCAACCAGAGTTAAAGATGAAGAGAACATGTTAAGCATTTGCTGCTAGAAATTTGACATGCGTGACCGGCAAAGATTACACTCAACTCATTCCAAATTTCCAACAACCCATCCTAAAAGTTCGAAAAATAATATGGAATGTGAAGAACATGGAAATACCCGCTCTTAGTTACTATACACTTCATTCCAGCTGCTTTGGCAGCTGCAAGGCCTATGCCGCTGTCCTCTATCACAACACAACTGTAGAATAGGAAAATCAAATCATTTTTCATGAACCAAAAGGTTAAACATGGAAGTTGGATATCTTAGTAAATGGGGTAGAGAAAGCACATCAATCCCTCAAATTCATAAAGTAGATTCAAATAAAATCTCATTATGCTGGTTGTAGCATCAGAAATTTGGGCTAGAGTGTCCTGCAATACCTTGAAGGATCAACACCAAGAGTGTTAGCCGCCAATACATAGATGGCCTGTCAAGAAGAATGAACATAGTTTAGTTTCTAAATGTGTCTGAGAGCCTGAGCTTGAGTGAACTCAAAGTAACCAGACATCATTAAATCAAAATGTAGAGGGATTAAAGTTTACTGGATCAGGCTTCTTGCGGGGAACCACATCTCCTGCAAATATCTTGATTTTTTCTGCCCGTTCTGGTCCCAGCAAGAATGTAACTATTGCAGAGACCTTAAAATCAGAAAACGGTTCTAACGTCAAAATGGGAGGGCAATCTATGAATCAGAATTATTTATTTCACAAATAAGCTAAATTAACCACAGAGAACAAGATTATGATCACTTGTCTTTAATTTTATGCTCAAAATAAAGTGCAAAGCTGATAAAGAAGATGTACTAAGGATAAAATGAGATCCCATAATTTCAATTTTCAGTGCATTTAATTATCAATGAGCAATGTCAATCTGATCTAGACCCAATAGCTTTTGGAAACATGTAAGAGTTAGGTTTTGATTAATATAGTTCTTGAAGAGTCACAGAAAAACTAATTATGCAAGCAATTAAGTTGTGGAACCTGATTTAGCATACCGCCTTCTCATTGGAAGTGCTGCACACAGCAACTTTAACTCCTTCTGCTAAAGCCTGATCTATCAGCCTGTACAAGTTGATAAGAGAAACTCAGCTACCTAACATATCTTGAATTTGAAATTTTACTTGGATAATCTTACTCACCTTCTGGAACCATTATCTTATTATTATACTCATAATGATATTTAGATTCTTAAGTGGTTGATTTTCTTAAAGCCATTTTATTATAAAATGAATTGGCATCTCTAAATCACTGTAAAATGAGACAAATCTTAGCCATCAATATCATTACATCCAATTCTTAGAACCAGAAAATGCAAGAGAGATATAACACACTAATGTCAAATAATAAATTTTGCATGCAAAAGCAGAAGATCAGATGGTAACCAACTTTGCAACTCCTGGCCGAAGCGGCAGCAGCTTTTTCTCAATAAGGGCCATAAACAACTCTGTCTTTCTCTTGTGAAGTGAAGCTACGAATGCTTTTCTTTCTTCTTCACTTTTCGGAGCATTTTCTGGCCAACCCGTCTTGTTAAAATAGGCTGTCATCCTACGAAAACCAGAACCGTTCGAGCACAAATAGAAATCAAAGTTCTGCACTAAATTAGATGTTTGCCCATATAAAATTTAAACCAAATAATTCAATGTATAAATAAAAACAACAAAACTAAGCAACCCAGGAACCATGCAACTCCAATGTAAGCTAGCTATAGAGTATTTGGGAGAGACCACTTTACCTTTCCTTTCCACCTCCAATCTTGAGCAACTCGCCGTACAAATCTACATCCCAAGTAACACCCAATTCTTTCTGTGCAATCAATCAAGTCATGTCACTAACCCATGAAAGTAATTGAGATTGTCTACCAATAATTTCCATAAAATCTAAAGCTAATTTCTCCCCGGGTCCTAAAAATGATTGAAAACGCAGACTGACAATTCCAATTTCTCTTTAAACTTCAGCTATTTATGAGCTTACCAAGCACAACATCCATAGCAATTCCCCAAAAGCAAGAAAACCCATTTCATCAAACCACACACAAACATACACAGATTGAAGAAAAACAGAAAAACAGAGACACCAGAGAAGACCAAGGGACTGTTACCTCTTTGAAAGTGTCATTGAAAGAAATGCGATGGCCATCCTTCTCCGTATCGACAAGCACGCCATCGCAATCAAAGAGAAGAGCCGAAGGAAGAGGAGAAGCAGAAGCTGAGCAAGTGATCTCAGAACTGGATGTTCCAAGCCTCCTGCTGCTCAATGGTCTTGTTGTTTTGCTAATGGCTATTTTTGTACCCACAAGTGAAGATTGTAAGGTCCTTTCATGGGATTTGAGGTTGGCAATGGAGGTGGTATTTTTGTGAGATCGCAAAGGTGTCGTAGAAGATAATGTAGCTAAGGAATAACAGACAGCCATTGACGCCATTAGAAACCACTCTCTTCAAAAGATCAAAGTAATTTTGGACTAATGAAAGTCTCTTACTTTTGCGGTTTTCTCAACGGTCCTTAACTAACTTATCTACACACTCCATTTTGGGCCAGAAAGCGACAAAACAGAACTTACACATCATCTGAAGCCCAACTCTAGGGGTATAACTGTCATTTCCTATTAGGACCAGGAACTAGGGTTGGGCACGGTCCAGTTTGGTCTAGTTTTCCTCTCGAATTATAACTGAAATTGGAACTTATACACGGTCCAGTTTGGTTTGATTTTTATAGAAAGTGTCTAAAAGAATCGAACCAAACTTATGCAGTTTTAATTCCGTTCAGCCCAATTTTTTATTTGGAAAGATAAAAATATAAAAATGTGAAGACGAGAGAAATAGGATGGATAGAAAAATGGAAGAAGAAATATGTACAATGGATAAAATAAGAGAGGAAGAGGTGAAGAGATAAGGAGGAAGAGAAATATAAAGAAATGTGGAAAAGAGAGAAAGACGGAAGCACAACAAGAACGAATATAGTTTGCCCCAAAAAGAAATTGGATTAGAGTAGTTATTTAGTTGGGTACAAATTGGAACTAAGACATCTAGGTATTAATTGGGCTAAAATATCTATATATTACTTGGAGTTACTACTGTTACTTGAATATTAATTAGACTTACTAATAATTTTGGATATAAAGGAATAAGTAAACATAACATAACCTGTCATTTTATACCAGTTTTTCCAAGACAAGAACTGGGACAAGAATCAATCCAAAGTGGTCCGATTCAATTTTTGAGCCTACGTTAACTTTATCGAGCAACACGGTTTTTTTCTCTTTTCTTTCGATTCAGTTTGGCTCGGTTCACCAGTTCATCCCCTTACCAGAAACCAGGGCCAAAGATACAAGGGAAAAGACGAGGACTTTGTACCAGTAGGGAACGAACACTGTTGGAGCTCAGAGCCTGGGAGACGATGAAACGTTTCTTTCAACCAGCCGAGAAAGATGGGTCTGCCAAAAAACCCACTCTTTCATCTTCTTCAGAAAATGGAGAAATTTCAGGGGAGGGCAGCAAGAAAGAGCCACTCAAGTTCAACTGGCCTGAGTTCACTAGCTTTTGACCCAGATGTCATTGCAATACACAAAATTTAGCTCGGATAGACCTAGAAACTACGTGTAGCTAAAATCTATTGTGAATAATTCATCAGAATTGTTTAACGTTTACTTCAACATATATTTCATAGAAGAAATCTATGCCTCGTTAGATATTTAAATGCTAGAGGTATAGAAATTAACATTGGACTAGATCCAACTGAAAGAATTCATAGCTTAAGATCATTACAAAGCTTGCCTTAGCAATGGAAGCTCCTTATAATACTTCATCCAGAGATTCACAAATGAAAACTTTGTCGGCTTGAGAATTGCTAATTTGCACTTTAATATACATCAAGACTAATACAAAATGCACTGGCAATTTTTTTATTATCTTTGCTGAAACCCTAATCACTATCCAACGAATTTTAGATGGAACAGATAATTACTGAAACTGAGCTAGCTCACTGCTTGAGAAGGCTTCCGCAAAATGCCAAGTCGAATCGCTCCTCCGGGGGATCTCCAATGAAGTCGAAGACTGCATCTGCAGTCGGAAATTCTTGATTGGCTGTGTATCTGCAACCAGAGTTAAAGATGAAGTGAACATATTAAGCATTTGACTGCTAAAGCAGATTACACTTAACTCATTCCAAATTGTCAAATAAGCCATCTTATAAGTTTGAAATATAATATGGAATGTCAAGAATGTGGAAGTACCCGCTCTTAGTTACTATACACTTCATTCCAGCTGCTTTGGCAGCTGCAAGGCCTATGCCGCTGTCCTCTATCACAACACAACTGTAGAACAGGAAAATCAAATCAGTTTTCATGAACCAAAAGGTTAAGCATGGGAGTTGGATATCTTAGCAAAATGGGGTGGAGAAACCACATAGATCCCTCATATTTGTTGCGAAAGTAGATTCAAATAAAATCTCGTTGTGTTGGTGGTTGTATTGTAGCATCAGAAATTTGGGCTAGAATGTCCTGCAATACCTTGAAGGATCAACACCAAGAGTGTTAGCCGCCAATACATAGATGGCCTGTCAAGAAGAATGAACATAGTTTAGTTTCTAAATGTGTCTGAGAGCCTGCGGCTGAGTGAACACAAAGTAACCAGACGTCATTAAATCAAAATGTAGAGGGATTAAAGTTTACTGGATCAGGCTTCTTGTGGGCAACCACATCACCTGCAAATATCTTGATTTTTTCTGCCCGTTCTGGTCCCAGCAAGAATGTAACTATTGCGGAGACCTTAAAATCAGAAAACGATTCTAACGTCAAAATGGGAGGGCAATCTATGAATCAGTATATTTATTTCACAAAGAAGCTAAATTAACCACAGAGAACTAGATTATGATCATTTGTCTTTAATTTTATGTTCAAAATAAAGTGCAAAGCTGATAAAGAAGATGCATCAAGGATAAAATGAGATCCATAGTTTCAATTTTCGGTGCATTTGATTAATAATGAGCAATGTCAATCTGATCCAGATCCCATATAGCTTTTGAAAATATGTACGAGTTAGGTTTTGATTATTATAGTTCTTGAAGAATCACAGAAAAACTAATTATGCAAGCAATTAAGTTGTGGAACCTGATTTAGCATACCGCCTTCTCAACGGAAGTGCTGCACACAGCAACTTTAACTCCTTCTGCTAGAGCCTGATCTATCAGCCTGTACAAGTTGATAAGAGAAACTCACCAACCCAACATACCTAGAACCACAAAATGCAAGAGAAATATAACACAAATAATAAATTTTTCATGCAAAAACAGAAGATCAGATGGTAACGAACTTTACAACTCCTGGCCGAAGCGGCAGCAGCCTTTTCTCAATAAGGGCCGCAAACAACTCTGTCTTTCTCTTGTGAAGTGAAGCTACAAATGCTTTTCTTTCTTCTTCACTCTTCGGAGCATTTTCGGGCCAACCCGTCTTGTTAAAATAGGCTGTCATCCTACGAAGACCAGAACCATTTGAGTACAAATAGAAATCAAAATTCTGCAATAAATTAAATGTTAACCAAATAATTCAGGGTATAAATAAAAAGAACCAAAATTAAGCACACCAGGAAGCAGGAACCATGTAAGTCCAATGTAAGCTAGCTATAGAGTATTTTGGGAGAGACTTTACCTTTCTTTTCCACCTCCAATCTTGAGCAACTCTGCGTACAAATCTACATCCCAAGTAACACCCAATTCTTTCTGTGCAATCAATCATGTCATGTCACTAACCCATAAAAGTAATTGAGATTGAGGTCTGCCAACAATTTCCATCAAATTTAAAGCTAATTTCTCCCCGGCTCCTCTAAAAATGTCACCCATTTATGATCTTACCGAGAAAAACATCCATAGCAATTCCCCAAAAACAAGAAAACCCATTTCATCAAACCACACGCAGATTGAAGAAAAACAGAGAAACCAGAGGAGAGCAAGGGAATGTTACCTCTTTGAAAGTTTCATTATAAGAAACGCGGTGGCCATCCTTCTCTGTATCGACAAGCACGCCATCGCAGTCGAAGAGAAGAGCCGAAGGAAGAGGGGAAGCAGAAGTTGAGCAAGTGACCTCAGAACTAGATGTTCCAAGCCTCCTGCTGCTCAATGGTCTCGTTGTTTTGCTAATGGCTAGTTTTGCACCCACTAGTGAAGATTGTAAGTTCCTTCCATGGGATTTGAGGTTGGCCATGGAGGTGGTCTTTTTGTGAGATAGCAAAGGTTTCGTAGAAGATAATGTAGCTAAGGAATAACAGACAGCAATTGACGCCATTAGAAACCACTCTCTTCAAAGTTCAAAGTAATTTTGGGACTAATCAGTCTACTTTTGCGGTACACACACCGCCAGCGAGGTATAGCCAAGGGCGGAATGGTGAGTTGGGATGTCTGAAGTTTTTAGCTTAAAATGTAAATGCTCATTTTTTTTACCTACGATTTCTAGTTTAAAAAAAAAAAAAAAAAAAAAAAAAAAAAAAATTATAATGGCTCATTTGGGAGTGCTTCTCTAAGAAACACTTCTACTTATAAGCTCTTTTATCAAAAAAACTTTTATAAAGACGTTGAAATTTTCATAAGAAACCAAAGTGCTTTTTGGAAAAGCACTTGGGAGTAATTCCTAAAAAAACACACGACATGTGCTTCTCCAGAAAGCGCTTCTATGACTCAAAAACGCTTTTTAAAATTTTCTGGCAAACGCTGTCAGAAGCGCTTTTGGTTGTCAGAAAGCGCTTTTAACTTTTCCAAAAGCACTCCCAAACGGGCCATAGATCATATAAATCACGCTAATTCATAACTCCATTCACAGAGGGATCTCGTAAGAGCCGGTGAAGGCCATTGCCCTCACTGCCTTTTCTCTAAAAGGCGAAAATAAAGTAATTAACTAACAGCCAAATATTGATACACAATACCTGATCAATATGAGCTCTAATTTCTCAAACTTCAAATTTTGTTCTAGTCTATTATGTGTGCTCTCTATAACGACTTAGTTGTTAGAGGTCGTATACATTGATAAAAATGTATTTGACTAACATATAACTATGATTGATAATATTGTTTTTTTTTTCCTTTGCTACTAATGAAAGCATTTGTAGTCATATATTTAGAGCTTAATTTTGCCCCCAAAGAGAAAATTTTCTGAATCCCCCACTGTTCATTGACTAATTTTTAATAAGTTTTAACATAAAACAAATACATATTAAATATAACCAAAAAATACATATTATCAAAATGAAAATATGTTCAACAACATAATTGAAACTATACACATTCAAGGTGTGCCCCTACGATTCTTGAGAGAATTAAAATATTTTGTTATTTCATCTAAATTGCACCGCCCTAGAGCTAGCTAATTGAAAAGGGTGGTATGATGGGCATTAACATGAATATTGATGACAAAGTAAGGAAACATTGAGAGAAAATAGTAAAAGTTAGATGGTTAAAGTCATGAGTGTTTATGAAGGGATAATGTTTCTTAATTGAGCAAACAAATTACATATACGATGATTATGAGCCTACAAAGTTGAGTGGACTACTATTAGCCATAAGAGGAACAACAGATAAAAGAGTCACATTCAACATCAAGAGTCCTAATACTCTTAGCCCAAGCCATTTGCAAACCTCTAAGGAGACTCTATAACTCAGCCACTGAAGGAAACATGCATTTAAATTTAAACTCATGGATTTTAAGCTACAACATACATGAATCAAACATTCAAAGAGGCGGAAGCAACTTTTAGATCGTATTAAGCCTAATGCGACCAAATTCCAAGTATCTTTCTAGGTCTAATCTCACTTATGCACAAAAGAAAAGGGAAGAAAGGATGAGACTTTCTTATCCTTGAAGCTCTCTTGGATGGTCTCTGAGTTTTCACCTTTGGAAAGACATTCTTCCTTGTTGCTTGCTTCATAGAGTCTTCACAAGGTACCAAAGTAGATGCCCTCTAGTTCACACACACAAACGTAGTGTAAGAGATGAAGAAGATGACCAAGAGGAGGTAAGGTGCTAGCCCTCTCCTCTTAGTGGCCGGTTCTAGCATGGTAGAGTGGAGATTTCTCTCTTCTCAAACCCACTCCAAAGTTGGATATTCTTCAAACCCTAGAAAGAAAACAGTCTAAGTGCAGCTTATATAAGCCAATACAAAAGATGAAGCCAACCCCCATCCTTGTATTTTAGCCATAGTGTTTCTTGGGCTCATTTAACTTATGTTGTCATACAACACATGTTCTCTTGGGCTCACTTAATTCCAATTTTTTTAGATCTTGAAAATAGTTTGGAGTTCAATACCAAACAAGTTTATGATCTTAAAACACTCTTTGAAAACTCATGTTTTTAAATTTACTTTTTAAAGTACGATACCAAATAGGGCTTAAGGCTCCCGAATTATTAAGGATTATTTTATGATATGCTCCCTAAAGGTGTATTTGAGTCTCACTTTGCCCCTTGAAACTCATTTTGTCTCACTTTACTCCTTTTTTACACATATTTGTCTCACTTTGTATAGATTCCGGTGAGACCAACAATTTCCGGTGAAAATTATAAAAATTAAAAACTCAATTAATATACATTATGTTTTAAATATTTAATCTTATTTAAAATTGAGTTTTAAATTTTTAATTAATATTTTGACCAGAAATTGTTGGCCTCACCGGAATCGAGGCAAAGTGAGGCAAATATGTGTGGAAAAGGGAGTAAAGTGAGACAAAATGAGTTTCAGGGGCAAGAATGAATTCAGGAAAGTGGGCTAATATTTTTCTTGGCTTTGGGGACTCCAAGTAAAATAATAATAATAATAATAATATAGTAACATTTCAAATATTTCAAAACCAGAAAGTAACAAACAAAATAATAAAATAACATCTTTAAAATATATATAAATATCTAAAACAAACCTTTCTCCTTCTCTCAGAAATACTATGTAGCTAGAAGAAGCAATGCAAATGCAATTCAACAGAAGCAATCCAAACTACAGAGGGACCATACCAGACCCTATTTAACCTCAAGCCTTGGAGTTTCAACTTAAAAACCACCTTAATTAGTTGATACTTGTAAAAATATTTAAAATAGAGCCAAAGAAGAGGGGTTTATAGTTTATTTTGGCAAAAAAAGGAAGGGGGTTTACGGCTACTAGGGAACATAGAGCATGAAGAAATTATTAAATTTTCATGTTGGTAGACATTAAATATTTCCCATGTTTGTTTTGATAGTAATTTATTATTACTACCGTGTTATTTGTTCCAAAAGCAATGATAAATGTGTTTTTTTTCAATCAAAAGAGGTGAGCTAATATTAAACAAAAAAAAATCACAGGCCAGGAGACAGAGATTGTGGGCTACTACTTTTTTGAATAGGATTAGCTTATAAAATTTGTACTAAGTTCAGTATTTTAAAAATTTTTTTTTTTTTTTTTTTTTTTTTTTTTTTTTTTTTTTTTTTTTTTTTTTTTTTTTTTTTTTTTTTTTTTTTTTTTTTTTTTTTTTTTTTTTTTTTTTTTTTTTTTTTTTTTTTTTTTTTTTTTTTTTTTTTTTTTTTTTTTTTTTTTTTTTTTTTTTTTTTTTTTTTTTTTTTTTTTTTTTTTTTTTTTTTTTTTTTTTTTTTTTTTTTTTTTTTTTTTTTTTTTTTTTTTTTTTTTTTTTTTTTTTTTTTTTTTTTTTTTTTTTTTTTTTTTTTTTTTTTTTTTTTTTTTTTTTTTTTTTTTTTTTTTTTTTTTTTTTTTTTTTTTTTTTTTTTTTTTTTTTTTTTTTTTTTTTTTTTTTTTTTTTTTTTTTTTTTTTTTTTTTTTTTGGGGCTCCCCTATTCCAAGCCTTACTACATGAGGTAGCTTGCTTACTCTTCTCTTGCCTGAGAGTGAGAGATCTTATTTGATATTAGGCATTCGAGCTTGCTCTATCCGACGCTTACCGACAAGAGAGAGAGAAAGAGCTCTTAGTCGCTCGTCGCTTACCGACAACATGAGCTCCAGAACCACAAGGATTATCCTCAAGCCAGTTCATAAGATTCGGGGGGAGATAATTAATCCAAGAGCTTGTTGACTGTGCTGATTTAAGCCTTTTTTTTTATTCTTTTTTCAGGGGCCAAGTGCTGGACGTCTATAGCCTGGCTCCAGAGTGTCCTGAGCGTCATCAGGTTAACTGAAAACCCACAGGGTCAATCAAGCTGGATGCGGTTAACTTTTGCACCATCACTTGTGCCTGCGACATACAGGGGCCTGTTGTGCTCTGTAGTCCCCTGTAGTTGATCTATTTCGCAGAAAGTGAATACATGAGAAAGACTAGAGACCCAGCTGGTAAATGATGGCCGGGTTTACTTGCTTGGAGAAGGTTTCAATTGACTACATGAGGAAATTGAATGCCCAAAACCCTCACACGCCTTACACCTTGTAGGAGTCCACTCAAATTCAGCGTGAATGGTAATCCAATTCCCATCCGCACACTCATCGGATTCTTTTATTGGATGCAGTAAACGAAACTTATCAACATGCTAGGCGACCGCACTAGCTATATAACTCAGACCGGTAGAAGTTCAAAACTCTAGGGGAACATGAAAGAGTATAACCCGTCTTCCACTCTTCTTTCTTTTGATTTGACTTCTTTCCGGGCGAAAACGGATAATTTGATAGAATCCCGTCAATCTTTCGAAAGGGAAGTGCATGGGAGTGGGATGGAACTGGCGATGCACCGAATCTTTCAGAAGAGAGGACGTAGAAGGGCAGATCTGGGGAATCCGTATGGAATCCAATCCAGTGAAGGAGGTCAAGAGAAGAGGGCTAGTGATCATCCTATCTCTGAAGTAGTCGGCTTTTTTTCAACGAATTTCTTCATTCTTTCAGCCCTTCTATTGTATTGAATCTACTCTGATCTGGATTCCATTCTCGTCTTTGCAAGCGGAAGGACAGATCTCGAATTCTGAACTTGATGAACTGCTTTCGCCCCCTTACCTGTGTATCCCGGCTACCCTGCATCAGGACTACCAGCACCGCCAGCTGCAGAAGGAATTTGAGTAGCAGTAGCGGATCGAGATGCAGTCCCTCTTCAAGAGCTCTTACGCTAAAGGGTGTTTTCTAAGTAGCCAAGGAAGGGAGTAAGAAGGGGTCAACCAACCATGAATAGGGTTTTCTCGTCGTACTGACACCTCGCTGGTACCGAGGACAAAGGCGTGCTGAAAGAAACAAATGGCTTTCCGGAACCCGCTTCTAGCCATGGAGGCGTCCACTGGCCACCCCCGTCCAGCGGCCGTTGTCTCTCGTCCGCCGGGCGACCTTGGACGCGACGCCCGGCCCGGAGCTGGCGTCGCCCAGACGGCCGGCCCCGGAGTCGCGCCTGCGACCGCGCGGGATCCCCTTCCGCGCGCGTAGGGCGGCGCCTGCACGCACCCCGTCTGCCGACCGCCGCGCAGACGCTCGGCCCGCTGCCGACCCGGCCCCTCGCGCGGACCCGCGCTGCCGCGGGCCCCTGCGAGAGCGACGCGTCGCCCGCCGGGCGCCGCGCGGAGGCGACAGGGCGCGCGGCCGAGCCGCGCGTCGAGCGCGGCGACGCGCTGCCGTCGTCAACGCCGCGACTGCAGGCCCCCGCGCGCCGGCGGCGGGCCGCGCGAGCGCGGGAAAGGCGCCGGGAAACGGCCGGGAGACGCGGGAGCGCGACGGCCGCTGCGCCCGGAAGCCCCGCGCCCGAGGCCCGACGGCGCGCGACTGCGCTCGGCGGCGCTGGCCCCGACGCACGAGCGCGTACCGCACGCGCCGCTGCCTCCGACTGTGCGCTGTCCCTCGGCGCCGACAGTCTTCCGCGCTAAGCTAGGGCTCCGGAGGACCCGCGCAGCCCCGTACTGACGCGACGACCCCGCGCTTCGCTAGCCGGGATCTCGCCCTCCGGCAGCGATGACGTAGAGACGCGGACGCTGGCCGCACGCGCTTAGGGACACCGACGGGCAGCTCGCTCCGTAACGCTCTAGCCTCGCGCGGAGCTCGAGCTAAGGACCCACCTTCTCGCCTGCGCGAGTAACTGTCCCGCGCTCTCCCCTGACGGATCCGCTAGTGTTCCCCGCTAGCTATCCACACCTCTGACGAGGCGCATAGATACGACACACGATCCCGCCCACGCGAGAGCGGCGGCGCGGCGCGCAGCACAATCTCCGCTTAAGAAGGCGTGAGACGCACACGAAAGGGCGCGAGAGGTATCGTACCCTCGGCCGGCTCGCACCCAGCTCTACCACCTATCCGAACTCGTATTCTCGAAGAGTACTCAAGTTCTGCTAGGGGACGCCTAGAGGGAGCACGAGGATAAGAGAAAGAGAGGGAGGACACAAAAGAGCGAGCAAGCAGAGATGTGCAGAGAAAAGAAGACAGAAATGATAGAGAAGAAGGACGCAGAGAGAAAGGAAAGAAGAAAGAGAGGAAATGGTAGAGAGAAGAGAAGAGGAGACTATGGGGAGGGAATAATGGGACAGGAGAACTAGTGCTTAGAGAAGAAGAGAATGGTATAGTGAAGGAAATATGAGCGCTGGGAGAAGGATATGATAGGATAGACTTCATGACATTTGTCTGATAAACGAGAAGAGATGAAGAGAGATCAAGAATGAGGAGTCTGGAATAGGTATGACGTACGACAGAAGAACAGTCGGACACTCTATAGAGACGAAGAAGTATATAGTCGGAATAAGAGATAAGAGAACCATAATCTCACTCGCTTATTTTTGTTTTCTAAAGCCTAATTTTAACAATTAGTGACTTCGGTATGATGCGTAGCTCCTATCATATACTACTTAGACTCTCCTCTGGTAACTGTCTTAGAGCGCTACTAATATCTTACCATTAATTACTATCTCTTCTTTACTTTTATTGCCTCTTTATCCTCTCTGACTATCCCTAATATATCTCCGTCCTGTTTTATTTCTTACTACTCTTAAAGGACTCTTCTCGCATCTAAGTCTAGCCCTACTCTCTCGCCCACTCTAGTCTGTTGATCATTTCTTCTTACCTATACACACTATCTATATCTAACTTCTCATATGCTTGTATTAGAAACAAGTAGATAATGCTAGGTAATGCAATTACTATGATGAATTAATAGATACCTAATACTCATAGCATCTATATATAATTCATTAACCCTACTTAAAATAGCGATTAATATAATACTATATACATATTGAATACACGTATAATCTTACATCTACAGCTAAGACTCTTATATTCACTCATCCTGAGTCCGCACTAACAACCAGATCGACCTCTATTGTCCTCTTAACCCTCCCACGTATCTATCTACAGCTCTTCCTCCGTTACCATTGTATACTATTCGTATTCTCTACATCTCATGATCCTTCTACTAACCAACATCATATCCTAGCTAACTGGATCGAAGAGGCGGAATTCAACATACTACTTCCCTATCTATCACTACGACAATATTGAACCGAGACCGCTAGCTCTGTATATACATAATTTTAATCGCGTAGCCAATTATATAGCTCTCGCTACTCTCAGCCCCTTAGACATATTCCGATCCTATTACACAGAGACCGGTAGTATTTGGTCTTCTGAGTCTCCTCTCTCTACCTTCTTCCTCTCTCTCTCTCTGCCCCTCTTTCCCTCCCTCCTTCTTCTTCTTCTCTCCCTAAGCTATTATTCTCTCTATCTCCGGAACCCTCTTCTAGCCATGGAGAGTGCCCTGTAAGCCAGTAATTGGAATACTTTTTCTAGGGCCAGTTAGAGATTTTCTTTCTAGTTAGATCAGTTCTGGAAGTGAGCAAGCAAGCTAGACACGAAAACTAAGGATAGACGCACTGGGATAGCAAGCAAGTTTGTTGAAAGAGGGGCAGATCACTCCTAAAAGCAGCCTATACGATACCACCATTTTGCCAAGAGGATCGGTAACGATGAACATTTGTTCCCATCAAATGAAACTTCCTTCCTGCTTAAGGCACTAGTTCGGATGGAAACCCTGCTCAGGCGGGTGGCCTAGCTAACAAAGCTATCCCTCAGAATCATAAATAGCAGCATTCCTTTCTTTTCTTGCCTTTGAGTTGATTACCGCCCTTTTTTATTCTTGCTTTTGTGGCGTGCTTTCGCACATAAGATAAAAGGTTGCTTTTAGCTGAAAAGATTGAGCCGCCCCCTACCCTAAGTCATTGCATTGATAAAGATGAGTGCCCTGGTTCCGGATGTCTTGCTTTGAATAAAACTAGTTGATGAACCAAGCACTGGAGGAGACTTTACTTCTGATCCTAGTTTTATTTTCTATGGCTATGAACGGTAGAGGAATAAAGAGACTAAAGAGAGTATCCTTTTGCTCCCCCTCTCCCTTAAAGCGGAGTTCCATCTAATAATAAACTGTATGGGCTCCGATCGAGATATGCCTTCTCGGACAAAGGAACCTAAGAAACTACTATGTTCAAGCCCTCCTCGGTGGGGGTAGCTGTTGAAGTGACTGATTCTGAAAGAGAACCCTAAAAAGGGAAGGGCGCAGATCGACCAGTTGGCAGAGAATTGGTAGGAAAGGGCTGCAGCCGGGGGAATTTTAGTACTTTTGGCTGGTTCTTTTTAGTGCCCACAACTATTCTCAAGATAGAATGTATCAGGCAGGAGCATGTTGTTCGCTGTTTGCATCTCTTGTTCGAATGCCAGTGAGGCCTTCTAATACCCCTCGTGATGAATCCAAAACGGATTAGAAATATCTACGTCTATCAAAGTGAGTTCAGTTTTATTTCGAATTTCTGAATAGTATACCCGCATTTCGGCTAAATAGCTAGAGGAATACCAGTTGCGGGGTCTACTCCTGGTGTTAGAGCACCCACTAGCGCCACGGAACCCCCTCTTCTGCTGCTGTCTGTGAAGAAAGAGGCTAAGCCAAACAGATCCTAGGTAGCTGGATTTGATTGTATTGCTATTCCATTGCCTTTTAAGCTATTGTTTTGGACTTTCTGTGTCTGACTCATAACAATCTTAAACTAAAGATTTAAAGCCCCTGGCTGGTCTCTGATCGAATCCATCTTTCTATTGATCGAATGAGTAACCTACCACTATCAAACACCTCCTTTCCTCAGGTCAAAAAAGGAGCTAGAAAGCTCTCATCCTTCGGAAGCGTAAAGGGAATCGGAGACAGCCAAAGGCCTTTTTCAGTTTAATGTCTTGACTCCCGTGGTAAAGCCCCTGAACGAGCTTTCTAGATAGCTTCTATGCCATTCTGTTGAAAACTAATATCCAGGAGGTAACTTAATTGGAGAATTTAGGTCTCTGCTAGCCCAGCTCTCTTGTCCCAATGATAGGGCGGAGCCGGAGAAAGCTCCCCGAAAAAGACGGATTCCGCTCTGCGGTTGATGAGGAATAGCAGTCACGACCTCGAGTTGTCTCTACTGATGTGGGTCATCGCGGTGATAGGACCGATTCTTTTATCCTTCTGCGCTACAACGAGACTCCTTCCCTCTTGGCATTCCCGATCTGGCTTTTGCATTAGTAACTCTTTAATATACGGACATTAAAGTAAGTATAACATATAATTAGTACCAAATCGTAAGACTAGGCTATATTCTAATTCACTTATTACACACTCAGCTCGGCGAACTCATCCAGAAGAGAAGAAAAAAGAGAGCGATCTACTGGCTTAGCTCGAGAAAGCACTGGCTGAGCTCTTCCTTTCGCCTAGTTCAATAATAAAATACCTCGATATTATTCATCCAACCAAAGAAAGCAAACGAAACCTGCCTACTCATATTCGGATATGTTTAGCAATCTAAAGAAAGATGCTCTTGAAAGCTCCTCTGAATACCAAAAGGTTTCCCCGTTCGGCCAAAGGCGAGGAAAGAAGGCTCCAGATAGCTAGATTCATTGTATGGCCGGGCATTTCTACACTTAGCGTTAGCGGAGGAGATGTAAAGGCATCCCATCTAAAGCTTTATGCATAGCTTTTAGCTTCTCCAGCAAAAGACTAGTATCCTATGGCAGCTCATCCCGAAGAATCAAAATAGAGGTCTGCCTTGGCATTTCACTTCCCAAAGTAAGTAGGCGAACCACTTTACGCTTTCTATTTAGAAGAAATTCCAATGCTTATACAGCTCAACGGGAGCTTCAAACCGAGGTGGGTAATTCGAAGATGCTATTGACTCAGACTTTGCATCCGCTAAATCCAATAACGGGGAAGGTTACTCACTTAGTGCAAAGCACGGAGGTTCTGGAAGAAGTGTGGTTACATACTTAAATTCCACTTTTTAACCTAAAAAAGACTTTAAAAAGGACGTTTGGGACCCGAAGCAACAAACGCCTTACCAGGGATATATTCTCAAACTAACAGCTTCAAGATAAAGGGGATGCGCTCTCGGATGAAGAACTTGAGGCAACGGCCAGAGGTAGTTGACTAGCTTGGAGATAGGCAGAGGCAGCTTGTTTACTACTTAGTGATTCCAGGGCCGAAAACCTCGCTCTTGAAGTGAGTCCTCTTCCTTTAGTGGGAGGAAGAGTTATAGTTCAAGCTACCTGAGCTAACTGCTTTTCACTCGAATTCAACTTCACTGCTCTTAGAGCGAGAAGAGGAAAACCCCTCTCTCGAATGAAGAGGAGGGCAGCTTCGGCGGGACCTAATTCAGGAGCAAAGGTGGAAAGGGAAAGACTTACTACGTTCATGCTCCGCCCCCGTGGTTCACTCACTCTCTTTCAGCGCTTTCTTCAAGCAATGATGCGATGATAAAACGCGGAGAAATAGAAACAAAAAAACAAGCAAGACACTCTAAGAACAAACAGTCTTTGTAAGTTTCGCCTACATATAAAAAAAAGGAATAGGCATTGAAGAGAGTCAGCATAGAAAGACAATCAGAAAGAAGATAAGCATTTGGCATACACTTTTGGCAAAGAAATGTAACATCCACCCCTCCCCTTAACCACACGGTCTCGTGCATATCAAATCACTCGGGTACAGAGAGACGGAGGCGGGGAGGTAACCATTCGCTCGCCATGTGGAATTACTGTTCTTTCTTTAAGAGCCCTTTCCTTTTCGTTTCTCTCAACATAAGAAATTTCATAGGAAATAAATCAGTGACAGCCCCGTATACTATGCAAAGGCAAAAAGTACGAAGTACGAGAAGGGGCAAGGGTCTGTCTTGGGTTCAATTCCCAAAGCTCCTATGTGGCGAAGTCATAAAATCGAAAATTAGTTGTCAGAGTTACCGTGCAAAATAATTTAATTCCAATCTACGATGACGGTGCAAAATCCGTGAGTCCCGAGGCTGCTACAATGAAAAAAATCGTAGGTATTCTTTCGGGTTGCCCGTTCGGAGGATCAGTGGGAACAAATAGCCACGCATATGGCTGAATGGATTTCTCCTGATTCGACCTGTAATGAGCTCTCATTAAAAAAGGTTTTAGGACGGCTGGAAAATGCGACAGATGAGGAGTTTAATAGGGAACTCAGGCTTACAATTTTGGAATAATACGTCTGGAAATGCATTTAAAAGGAAATGCATTTTTGCATTCCGATCTATAAAAAAGCGAGTAAGTAAACTGCCGCCGCATGCTATCCATGAAAATAGACTACTACCAGCGGAAGGGCCGCTTTTTCTTCTTCGAATGATTCTGTTTTTTCCGTTAGAGGATATTCTGATGGAACTGGTGCCAATGATTGATAACATCGTAGAGTAGAGCAAGCTTTCCCCTTTTTATATTCGTATAGAAATTTTAGGACATTCCGGTACGAGGTTGTCATTGCAGCATATGCCTCCACGGGCTCAAAGTGACAGGTATTTCATGGGCTATCCGCTCGGGTCTGAAATTAGGGCTTTTTCGTTTTGCAGGTGTCGTATGACCCAAAAAAGTCTTTATATTAGCAGCCCCAACCATTACAACATAGGGGCTCGGAAGTTTCGTTTAGACCCGTTCCAAGGACATTATCTTTAATCTTCCTCCCTTCAACAAAAGCAGACTCGGCGGGATCGAATGCTTTCCCGGTCGAGGTTCAGTACATCCGGGTTCTCAGCTCGATTTTCTCTCTGTATCCACCTTTAGTCGGTATTCAGGGTTCCATTCTTGATGTATCTACTATTTAAGTTCCTTCTGATCTATCTACTGTAGGTTCAATCCCCGGTCATTCTATCTTTAGTGAGGGGACGAGTCATCTTGCTCGACATCATGGGATCGCGCTTTCATTAACGGGCTGCTTACTCCGAATTGGGATATATAATTAGCCCAAGCAAGACAAGGCAAATTGAGGTGCGGTGACGCGAAGATCGGTACTTTTTTTCTTCCTTTCCTTATTGTGTGCCTTTTCGGGTCTTCTTGGTCAAGCTGACTGACTGGCGTGCTAATGAGGCCTTGGAAGAGCGAAGACTTTCTGACTGGCTAATCTTATGATTGATGGTTCCGATGGACAATACGACTTGGAATTCCCATCAGAAGCTAAGAACGGTAAGCCGTCAGGTCAAAGTACGTATTTGAGGATTGCCTCTCCATGACAGATGGCTTCCTCCTCATTTTCCAATAACAAATTCAAATAGGCTTGACCCTCCCAAACCGATTGTTATTTTATCGTTTTCGTATCTTGCTTTCTTGCAGTCTGGAATTGTTATTGAACTGGTTTAATCTGGTATTGTTAGTAGGAAGTGGTGATAGATAGCAGGAGGCTTACTTACCCGATTCCTTTCTGATGGCGGTCCAAAGAGGAGCTAGCAGAACAATCGACACAAGAGAGGAGAGGAGAGGGTAACGAAGTAGCTCGACTGAAAGGAGAGGGCAAACTATCTCAAGGAGACGACCAAAGGAAGAGCCCCTGCAAGAAAGGCAAAAAGTGCAGAACTGAATGATCAAACTGATGCTTCTACGCAGAAGAAGAGAGAGAGAGAAGGCACGAAAGCTGGCCGAGAAGAGAGGCCCGACCATGGATAGGCGTAACCTTTGGCATGAGATTTATCAACTAAGCCTGGCTATTTGCACCCCTTGGCTTAAGGTGGCGGTAAGCTTACCCACTCCGTTGTCTTAGCATGAATAATTCTTGATTCAGCTCCAGACCGGAATTAGACCTACTCTCGTTCATAAGGGTAGCCTCCTTTGTTAAACTACCCTGGCTTAACTTGGAAAGCTTCCAGGGCATCTCTAACGCGCTATGCTGCGACTGTAGCTAAAGCGAGTGCTTACCTTTCCGCTGGAACCTTCTCCCGGTTTTTGTTTACGAGAATAAAGATAAGTGTGTACGATACCGCTTTCAAGCTCAAGCTTCTCGGGCGGCAGAGTTCTTCCGCAAATCTATATATCTTCCTTCTGTCTGTTCATCAAAATCAATATCTGTCCGATTGCGCTGTGGATTCAAAAAATATATAAAAAAGAAACTTTTTAAACATGCTTCACTTTTCTTTTTAAAGAAGTAAAGCGGGTATCGAAGCAAGGGAAATCCAAAAACGGAGGAGACGGTTTCGAGTAATCCCATGGGTAATCAATAGACCAAAGACACTTTGTTGAAAGCCGGTCTCCAGTAGTGTTTGCACATGCATTTCCTCAACTAGAAAACTATCAATCCACTCTCATTCATGCATCAGGCTTGTGGTAGGCCTCTATGGGATCAGTTCCATTCGTAGCTAGTAGAAATGCAATTTTTGACTCTTGCGTCTTCTATTCGTGCTTCTTCACCTTTTCACTCTTACTAAAAAAGCTAAAAGGGTGCTCCGGTTGATCCCCAAGCGTTTGATCTCGTACAGTCCGTCGCTTCTTTTGGGGTGGCAGCCAGCGCGGATACTTTTTTATTTTATAAGATAAGATCGAGTGACTTCCCCGCGTATAGTATAAAGGGAGGTAGCAATGGAATCCGGGCAGCCCCTACCAAAAAAAATGAAAGAGTGTTGTGTGAGTACCAAGAGTTGTATATCCAAGTACAGATGCTATGGAAGCAGCATAGCTAGTTGGTTTACCATAACTATTAAGGGCTGCTAGGTGAATCCCTAAAGTAGATTAGTTCGATCAGCAACACCTGTCTCCGCAGCACCAGGACCAATACAATACCTCGTTTTTACCCAGAACCTGTCTCTGCAGCATTGGAACCAAGATCGGGCTTGGCATAGTTGCAGTACGAGTTTCCCGGTCTATTTAACTAACTGAAGCTAGCCGGGATCGAGAGCTTTCTTATCATGCGGCTCTTGGATCAAAAAGAGGCTACTGGACCAAGGCTTAAACTGCCGGGCACGGACGAGCTAGCTGGGCGAAGGGATTCAGAAGACCGAGTCAAGCGACTAAAGCGACTACCATACATAGAGCTGGAAGCTGCACTAGTGGACGAAGAAGTAACTAAAGCCTGAACTGGATGTGGAAACGAAACTGTACAGGAAGAAGAATCGCCCTACTTTATTACATTACGGCCTTTCCCTCTTGGAATGAGCATAGCACTGTAACCCCTCTAAAGAGGAAGAGAGTGTAATGCAGTTGTAGCCTTTTCATTATTATATTCTTTAGGATTCCTCGAAAGAAGCGCGGCTTTTCGTGATATAAAAACTCTCCCCGGTTAGGGAGGCTTTCGGTCTTTCGGTTAAGCTGTTAGTACTTATAGTCAATGTTTCTAATCTGGATGAGTGAAACAAGGGATCAAAGCGTCGAGGCGCGAAGTCTTTAAGATCGGATGCAATTCTGAAGCTGGTACATGCTGCACTGGTCCATGTTTCTGGCAGGCCTGGAATCTCTTAGCATATTAAAAGAAATCGGACAAGATGGTTGGCCAGTAATGGCCATGCCTTCTGATCAGCCAACGCATTTTATGCCCTGCTTGATGTGATCCACATACTATACTCCATCATGGACTTGAAACATAATTTTTTCGGCTTCTTGCTCACTCACACACCTGAGGAGCAGTCCGTCCTTTCCACGCCGATACAATATCCCGAAAATCAAAGCATAATTCAAAGCTTGTTGTTTTACTGACCTGGGCCCTGGGTCGAACCAAGCTTAAAAGGCTCTATAACGGCCTCCTTTAACCACGAGGAATGTTGATGAAGATCTTGATTCGAAGTGCTTTAGTGAAATTCACATCTCGGGAATACTTTTCGATACGAGCTACTGTACTCTTCTCTGATCTACGACCTTCACTATTAGTTTCTAGTAAGTAAGTCTCCTTATGCTACCCAGAAGCTCTTAACTCCCTCCTGATTATCGTTGTTAGTTTTACCTAGGAAAAAGCTGCACTAATGGGATAGTAATCTTAAAGATATTATGCTACCCTCTCTTCTTCGAGTAGAGCTACTTCTATTACCTGGGGGGAACTCCTTCTTAACGACCTCTTCGCCCTCTTGAAGTAAGCCTTCTCTAAGCCCTCCAGATGCTAGACAGATTCCTTCTCTTTCTCTCTACGGGATAGGATTGAACTTGATGGCTCGACCACCGGTAAAGTAAGACTATCAAGCTTTCCCACAGGGATAGGAGAAAGAAGAAGGAAGGAGCGGGTGGGCGGAACCGAGCTTTACTTACTATTAGTGAAGGGCGTAGAGACCGCTTTAGGCTAGCTTATGGGTTACTTATGGGAGTGCTCTCTCAAGAATTAATCAGGAGTCGTTCGCACATAGCCTGTTTAGCTTGAACTTCCTGCTTGAGAACTCGTTAGTCGTTCGCTAAGCTTCCTGGGACGCTGGTCGAGCTACTTTCCTCTTCCTCTCCCTTTGGTCTTGCTTTTAAGTCTTCCTTATGCAGGTTATGAATTCAAGCCTCAGAAGACTTGGCAGAGCAGGAATCAGCAGAACCGGATGAACCCTCAAAAGACTTGGCAGAGCAGGAATCAGCCCCTGTCGGCTAAGGCTTGTTGCCAAGGTCGAGTATGAGGGGGGCTCTGCCCTCCTTTGGCCTTTGGCGGTTGCAAATCCATCTTGTCTTTAACTGACTTGGTTTTGGGAGCCCCATCTTTGTGGTGACAGACTTCTTTTACACTTATCAATGCGAAATATAATCAAAATAGATCAGCGGCAGATGCCAATTCTCAGGATTGAAAGTAGCTAAATCCGCTATAGGGCAGAACTCCAGATCTACGAATAGAAGCGGGCAAGCACCTTTAACAAGCAAGTAGCTAGCTTCCAACTTACTTAACAGCAAGGAATTCCAAAGCTGCTTAACTAAAAGGTCAATCAAAACGAGGGTCCGGAGGAGAATCATAAAAGCGGGAGTTGAGTATGGCTTCGAATGAGCCCGCATTCCAGATAGAAATTCCCGACCTATTGTTTTTCTGGAAAGACGTCCCTCGCGCTGGAGAGCACGGTCGTTAACTGCCTCTCCGCTTCCCCCGTGCTTGTACTTGCAACAGCGAAGAAAGCAGACCCATTAAGTGACTCCTGAAGACTAAAAGAATGGATTGATGGTTGAACTTGACTCGAACACGTGTTTACCATTTCGTAATCGTTGATAAACCCGGTTGAAGAATCGCATTCTGCAGTTGACTAAAAATGTGGAATCGGTTATGATAGCCTTTCTATTTATGCGGGTTGGTGGATAAGCCCTTTCCCCTAATTAGTAAGTCCGCGGGGAGATAATTCCACATTTGGAAGTGAGGGAAGGGTTGAATGCGTTATATCATGCTCTTCATCCCTTTGATCGAAAGCCAATTCTTGCCGTCCTACACCCCCAGTCATTAACCAGGTCTGCATCAAGATAGATTCGGTTTTCTCTCTTTCAAAACCTTTGGCGGTACTAATCGTCACCTCACTCTTTCTTCTTTTTTTCGGTATGCGGTATGCCGCTCCACAAGCAAGGAGCATCCAGCCTAGATTTATCTGTCTTGATGGATTTCCTGGATTGCCTGGAACTGAGAAAGACTATAAAAAAGCCCTCATAAAGTGCCTTTTTTCTACCGCTGCGCCTTACTCTTTGCATTCAAATCTGTAGCTGGACGATTAGATGGATGCAAAAGGGCGACGTCGAGGCATGTGCGAGAAGCTCTATTTCAAAGCTTAGGCGGTCAACCCTCGAAAGGAGGAAGTCTAGGAAGCCACTCACGGCTCTTAGCATGCTGTTTTCTTACTCGACTCGATAGTGGTGGGAATGCAAAGACATCCTAAACCAGCTTCCCGGTAGACCCTATTTCCATTTCGTCGAGAAAGAACTATTCTATGACAGCTCAAGTGAAGAAGGTGTAGGAGCAGAAGTAGCTCGATCATAGGCCTCAAGTGGTTATAGATCGGAACAATTAGGGCTTTCCCCTTCGGAGTTAGATACTACTTACTTAGGCGATTAACCAGATGCAGCTCACGCAGATCTTGCTGTGCGTATGAAAGCTCAAATTGATGGAGGTCTCAACTTAACTGCTGATGGAACCCTCGGAACCCCTCCGTTTTTATGTGGTATAGTCCCCCGTGGAGTTTTCTATCTAGGCTAACTGCCCTTGGAAGCATCTTCCAAAGGTTATTCCAACATGAATGAGATTAATCAGAAGGAAAGTATAAAAATATTTGACTACGTTCATCTACTGTTGGCGCCGGTGTCATAGCACGACCTACCGGGAAGCTGACTCACGCTTTCATGCTAGTAAGGGTTTTTCTTCTTTAATTTCCAACACGTTCGGAGTCTTTCAGATGGGAGTCGAAGAATCGTGCAAAAGGCGTCAAGGAAGGTTAGATTCCATTGAAAGGTCGGTAATCGAGGCCTAGACCTCTCGCAGGTGAGCCAGCCCCTGTACCAACATCTATATCAGCACCCATAGAAAAAGAGGAAGCCGCAGCGGCATATGAGACAAGTGGTAGGCTTAGATCATCAGATGCAAGTTCATCTCGATTGGAAACTAGAGCACATAATCAAACTTAGCTATGCTATGTATTTTCAATCTCTCCCGAATACCAAGTTGGTCTCTTCTCCCTCCGAATTCCTACTCCCTATTTGGATATGATGAACAGCTGGTTGAGCGAGTAGACTACTTTGCTTTGAAACCTTACGTTCCGGCTAGAACATTCGCTCACTTTAATTAAAAAAAGTCTCAAGCTAGTATATTGGCCCCCCGGAAAAGCTACTGACAATTAGGACCCGTTTTTCGAGTGAAACTGCCCTTAATGGCTGAATGGTTAAAGCACCCAACTCATAATTGGTGCATCCAGCAGTAGGAATTGAACCCACGAATTCTAGGTTCCCGTCCGTTTGTTTTGATTTTTCCGTGTTTCCACTCCTACATTGGAACAGTTGGAACATAAGACCAAACGCCAGATTCTACCACTGCAGAGCCCAATGAAAGCCCTACACCAAGTATCTCGCTTTGATTCAACTCGCAATGTACGTTCACTTGATCGACCAGAAGAGAAGGTGTGCTCGGGACCCGGCCCGGAGGTGCTAGTAGCAAACCGTGATGACAAACGAGGACATGCCAAAAGAAGACATAAAGTAGAGTCGCCAAGCCAAGAGCAATTCACTTGCTGCAATCAGAAGCTGGCTATATCTTCACCCGCCTCGGCCAAATATACGAAGAATAACCGCCGAAAACGACCCAAAAGGTATCTTTACCGAAGCCCCGAAAGCAAGTTTCTCTTTAAAAAAAAAGGTACATCCATATCCATAAACTTTATTATGTAATTCAGAAAGAGCTTTCCCTCTCCAATCATGATTGTGACTCTCTCATCACTGAAATTACTTCTGAGGAATCTATGTCTTTGAAAAGGGTTTTAGGATATTTTGATATGATGGTCTTGCTGCTGCTGAAGGCCTTCTTGCCCTATCATCCTAAGTGTGAACCTCACTCATCTGCGGATGATCTAATGGTGTTCCAAGCAGGCGATCTTCAAGCCCAAGCTTTGAAGTTTTAAGAATAAGAATGTTTTGCTCTGACTTAGATGGGCTTGACTTAGACACCCTTCCTTTTCTACTCCGAAAGCAATCAGCAGCCGGGTAACCAGGAAAAGTCCTTGCCTTGCCACTACGAAGGAGGGTGGATCACGAGATTGAACTCATTCCTGGAACAAAAACCCCATTCCTCTCGTTGCAGATCTATTCGATTAACCGAGCAATGCAAAATTTTTCACGGGTATCATCAAGTTAGAATTTCTGAGGCCAAAGACAACCTGTGTTACTCGGTATGGGGCTTTTGAATTTCTTTTATGCCTTTTGTACCTTGATGAATCAGGTATTTCATGAATATCTCGAGAAGTTCGTGGTGATGTATCTAGACGACATTGTGCTTTCTAATTCATCTTTGGAAGAACATGTGGAACACCTTCGACTGGTCTTCAACAAATTGCGCGAGAACCCACTCTACTTGAACTCTACTTGAAGAGAGAAAAATGTGCCTTTGCCCAACAACGCATCAAGTTCTGGGGCCATATCATTGAGCATGGCCACATTCGGATGGATTTGGGGAAGGTGAAGGCGACCCGGAAGACCCCCAATAATGTGACGGAATTTAGGTCCTTTCTGGGACTAGCTAACTACTATCGTCGCTTTTTGAAGGACTACTCACGAAGGGCTACACTTCTGACTGATCTTTTGAAGAAGGGACGAGATTGGAACTGGTCTAAAAAATGCCAAGTGGCCTTTGACGATTTGAAAGAGGCGATGATAAGTGACCCAGAACAAACTTGCTCTTCCAGATGTAATGAAGCCCTTTGAGGTACAAACGGATGCCCCAGATTTTTGTTTAGGGGAGTCCTATTGCAGGAAGGTCACCCAGTTGCATATGAGAGTCGTAAACTGAGCGACCCAGAGACAAGATACACAGCACAAGAAAAGGATCTATTGGAAGTAATCCATTGCCTTAGGTTAGGGTCTGGAAACACTACTTATTGGGGTCCAAGTTTGTAGTGAAGACAGATAAGACTGCAGTGAGCCATTTTCTTACGCAGCCCCCGCACGGTGGCAGGAATTCTTGGCGGAGTTCGACTTTAACTTTGAATATAAGACGGGTCAAACCAATCAAATAGCAGATGCTCTTAGCCGGAAAGCAGAACTAGCAGCTTTAAAATACCTTTCCCACACCTCCGCCAGCCAAGTGGCAACCTCAGTGCGGGAACATCTTAAGGAGAATTAGTCTAAAGATCCTACGGCTCAAGCCCTCCTGAATTTGATGCGAGAAGGGAAGACCCGTCAGTTCTGGGTGGAGGACGGACTTTTGATGACAAAAAGGAAAGGGGCACCGATTGTTTGTACCGAAGGTTGGAGATTTTAGGAAGGTACTCCTACGAGAATGTCATGACGGGCGGGTCATCCGGGCTGGGCTGGCAGAGGACTTTCGCCTTAGTAAAGCAAGGGTACTATTGGCCAGAAATAAAAGACGATGCAATAGAGTACACCAAAACTTGTCTAACTTTGCCAGCAAGATAAAGTTGAAAGGAAGAAGACCGCAGGGTTCTTGGAACCACTCCCAGTACCAAGTCGGCCTTGGGAGAGTTTCCCCTTAGATTGAATCTCAAGCCTTCCGAAGGTGGGGGACAACAGTTGTATTCTGGTGGTTGTGGATAGACTCTCAAAATATGCAACCTTTATCCCCACTCCAAAAAGCTGTTCCGCCAAAAAGACTGCTGGATTGTTCAAATACGTTGTTAAGTATTGGGGTGTGCCACAGAACATTGTCAGTGATCAGGACTCAAGATTCACAGGAACCTTCTGGGATCTAAATGAAAGATCTCCTCTAGCTATCACCCACAAACTGATGGCCAAGACAGAGCAGTTTAATGTTCTCCTTGAAGAGTCTTTGCGACATTTCGTTAATGCCAACCGGGTGCAACTACTTGATGTAGCAAAATTATGTTTTCACTCCTAGAAGAGCTCTTCAACTAACAAAAGTCCCTTTGAGCTTGTTACAAGTCAACAACCATTGTTACCAAATACCGTTGACAAGTACGAAGGAAAGAGTCCCCAGGCCTTCAATTTCACCAAGGAGTGGAGGCAAAATGCAGACATTGCTCGAGCTTATCTTGAGAAAGCCCCAAAGCGCATGAAGAAGTGGGCAGACATGGGCCTCCAGAATTTAAGGTTGGCGACATGGTATTGGTGAAGCTATCTCCAGAATAACTCAGATTCCTCGGAAATCAAGACAAAAGACTCATCCGCAAGTATGAAGGGCCAGTTCCAGTCATAGAGTGGGCAAAGCTTCATACAAGATTGATCCACCAGATTGGTGGAAAGTCCACCCAGTGTTTCATGTCAGTTTTCTCAAGCCATAGCCATATCATGCTGATCCAGAAGATGCAGAGCGCAATCGACCAGCCATCAACAGCAAGCGACAACCGAGCAAAGAAGCGGAAGAGAGACTAGCGGAGAGAGTCATCACAGTGTCACGGAGGCCACGCCGCGAGTTTCTAGTCAAGTGGAGGAATCCCGGAAACGAGGACGTCGACCAGGGGAGAGTGTCATAGGCCAATTCTTTTACATGTAGTATAGTTGTGGAGAACATGGGAGTGGAAATATTGTACTTGACAAATGCATTTATTTTGTAATTTCAAGGGGTGTGACACCTCCAGCATCTTGATGTCTCCTTCTACCACAAGTTCACACGCTCCTTATGCTCTTTAGGGGGGAGTGACTAGTTGGGCCCGTGAAAGTTGGTATCAGAGCTTCAAATCGATTGTGGGATATAAAAGCACCATGGCCAAAAGTGCCAAGATCGCTCGCATCGAAGCATTAGAGAAAGACCTTGAGGTGGCTTTGTCCGCAGCTCAAACTAAGCGCATTGAGACGCTCGAAGTAAAGATTTCTGAACTTGAGAATCATCTAGCGATACTCCCTAGTTCTTCGGATCGGCCAACAGAGCTTGAGGCCTCTCAAAGTGACGCTTTTGAATTTTTTACAGATAATGTAAAAGAGACCGTGAATACCTTGCAAAATGATTTGCAGGAGCTCAATGCCAAGGTGAGTCTGTTGATGCGCAATGCCAACAATTTGATTTCGGACCTTCGATGCGGACGGGTGAAATTGCCAGAACCCCGGGCCGGGGTAATATAGATGCCAAAGAGGTAGATGAGAACTTTCTCTTTGACATGGAACAAGACTGTCGGGTGGTCCGAACCGATTCAGAGGAGCACAAGGTTACCATAGCCACAATGTACTTCACTGGGGATGCCAAACTGTGGTGGCGATCGAAGGTTGAAGACATTCAAAACAATCGGTGCACCATTAGCACAAGAGCTCAAACGAGAGCAATTCCACCCCGAAAATGTGGAGTAGAGTATATAGCGCGTTGCAAGTTGAGAGAGTTGCAACAGACCGGTTCACGTTAAAAAGGAACTTTCTACCCTTTCGTTTCTTTTATTCCACTATATCCTTTCAGTCGAGTCACCGCTACGCCCTTCTACTGAGAGGTGCACCCTTTTTTAGCGATATAGTGGATCGCTCATTCTCGCTTATCGAAGAACTCGCTTTCGAGTGAAGGCCCTCGTTATCGCGGGCTAGATTGAAGAAGAATCACCTGCACAAAATTAGAGTGGGTTTAGAACGTCGTGAGAGAGTTCGCTTCCTATCTACCCTTGGTCTTAAAGGGAGATAGTTGATCGAGAAAGCTCCGCCCCAAAGGCGCCGAGTACATAGACGAGGCGGTCACCGGTAGGCTGTTACAAGGTAAGTGCCTATCCCTGTCTCTATCACGCCCTATTCTGAGCCTCTTCCCCCCCTTCTCTGGGGCTTTTTCCTTTCCTGGGATCTCGTTTTTTTGAGTGATTTCATCCCTTGGGTAAGAAAGTCGTCCTAAGACCTTGCAGTTCTAGTTGGAGAGGTAACCCGATGTAGTTCTATTCCTTCTCCCAGGCATTCCTAAGCACTGGCATTTGTTCTCGTTTCCCCTTTGAATATTGGTTGAACATTGGCTATTATTCAAACCTATTTCTTTCTGGGCAAGCTTTTTCACTTTTCAGTCAGCAGTATCGAATCTTTTAAGCCAAAGGAAAGGGAAATCCCATATTAGAAACTCTTAAGCTAGCCAGTATCAATTTGAACATCTTTATTAAGAAAGCGCTTGCTGTCACTGCCGAGATACATTTTTTTTTAATTTAATAATTCAGGCTATCTTTCCTTTGCATCTATTGGGATAAGTGTCTTATTACGCAAGAAAGCTATTTTCCAGTTTTCTTCTATCCGGATAAAACTGAATCGAGTGTGAGTTCCTTTTTTTGGGGTCTGTACGCTTTTCTGACCTTAAGCATATAAAATAGATTAGAGGATTGGATCTATAGTGCCTAAAGCTAGTGATAGCGGATTAGAGAATTCATTTCTTTCTAGTCATAAGTCCTCCCATTTATACTCTTAATAGGATTACCTAGAATGCTGAGCTACCAAACAAGCCAACGAGCGAGTTCGAGTGCTTCTGCCTCTGCTTGCGAGCCTGTCCTAAGATAATAACTTATCCCCGAAAGATAGAGTTCCCTGCCAGAGCTATTGGGAGTTCTCTTGTGAGTTCCCCGCCATCCCGACCTGTGCCTGTCCCTTTTTCAAGTGAAGTTCTAGTCCTTCGCCTTTTGGGCCAGTAACAAAGTCTCTTGAACTTCCTTAATTTCTGGGGGGAGCAAGCTATTAAGTTAGATGACTTAATCCAGTACCAGTAAGTAAGGAAGCCCCTTTGAAAGCATTATTCATTATCTGAGTGAATCCCGTCTTGTGACAAGTTTAAAAGAAGGACTATTGAAAGCGGGGATAGCGGATTATCTTCTCGGGAAAGCTAGCAAGCCATCTACTTTCTTTCTCTTTCCTTCACCCCTCAAGTAGTAAGGCTTTCCATCCACCCTGCCGGTCCTAATCAAATAAAGATCTTATCCGGCTAGCCATTGGTCGCTTTATCAAATCTTCTCCAATTAGAGAGTCACTTCGTCCCTTTTGGAGTGGAGAGAGGAGTACCGGAAGCCCATTAAGTGTAATTTCTTCTCTTGAGACTTCTGTTACAAAAGTGCATTTGCTTCTGCCCTCCCGGGCTATATCTATCTTCTCTTTTCTTTTCTTTAGGAATTGCTTCTCTTTTTAGGTAAGGAATAGCCTTAGGCCCCTCGAGTCTCTGGGATTGGCATGTAATAGAAGGATTCGGATACTCGAAACAACTCGGCACTCGCATCGGTAAAATAACGTCTAATAGATAGACCTGGAAATCGATGCTTTCTGGCTCCTCACTTCCGGTCGGTGAGCCTCCCCTTTTTGTTTTCTTTGATTCACAAGCAGGAATTGAACCAGCATCTCCGGTTGCTTTCCCGGCGCACTTCCCTTTATTTATTGTTATTGTGAAAGCCAGTTCCTCGTGATAGTACATGTGGGATTTGGTTATCGAGGTACAAGAAAGATGATTGTGGGAACGGTTCGCTACTAGGATCAAAGGATTCAATCCAGCCCCGGGCTACCCTGTTTGGGGCTGGATTGAATCCTTTTATCGGGGGCCAAAGTAAGACAGTGAAAGAGAAAGCACTTCACGTAAAGAGCAGAACTTCTTTCACGTACTGAAAGGCAGGCCTTTTTCATGGTGATTTTTCTTTTTTGATTTCTTTGGAGAAGGGGAATGGTGAGGCGGGCCCCATCCACCAGATTACTTTAACTTTACAGACTGGAATGAATCCCAGGCACAGGAACTGGCTAAAAAAGGGCTCTTATCGCATCTTATTGACTCAAGATTGGCTCGCTCTTTCCGCTCGCTGGTTTCACTGCGTAAACGTCCTATCCCTCTCTCTGGTCTAGCTTAGTCAATTTCCTCTGACCAGCTGATGACGTCAACTTAGTCGTCTCCAGTTTGTCGAGCTTATTAAGCTGCCTCTGACTCGCCGATCCGGTCGGTGATGTCACTTTTTGCCAGGGATGTGGGCACAGGCAGGTGATCTTGACTTTCTTTAGCAGCTTCAGCGGAGTTCGAATCTGCACTTCTAGCTTTCGAGGCCCACTACTTAAGTTTTTAAACGTTTTTCAACTAAGAGTTCTACGCCCCCCTCTGTGTGAAGTCCGTTTTGTTTAGCTTTCTCCGCGTAGATCGGAGCTCACTCCTGGGTATCCGCCCTCTGATTCGGTGGAGTAACTGCCCGCCCTGTATCTGGTGGTGCCTGTCTGGCTGGCTTCGGCTTGCTGAACGTTGTTATTATTCTTTTTAGGGTCTGGTGGTCTTGCTGCAGTCAGCGCTCGCCTCATTCAATCCCCACCTCTCTGTATTGCTAGCACAGAAGGCTCTCTCTGTTCTTACTACCTACGGGATAAAGCCAAGCCATGGCCTCCAGGGTTGGTTGTCTTACTCGAGGTTCTGCCCGCTCCATCGATATCTTTCTTACTACTTTCCTTGCCTTGGCAAAGTCTACCTGTACGTTTACGATTTCAAGCCTTTCCGAACGCCCGTTAGAACTGAACTTTGAAACCGGTAGCTTTGATGCCCGACGCTTCGTCATGCCAACCTTGAGCCCCTTTATTTAGCCCTGTACTGTGGTGAAACCGGAACTTATGGCTGAGTGTTTTTAGCCGCTTTTGACTCGGAAAAGCTGTTAGCCTTTTATGCCCTAGCCTTGAAAACGATTATGCTTTCGTAATTAGTTCCAGCTTAGCTTCGTCATGCCCACCGGAAGGAACGCCTTCACTCACGCCAACAACAACCTCTGCTTAAGCAGCCTACCCGAAAGTTAAAATCACATTTCTTTGCCTGAGAGAGAAGAGCGTCAGCCCGCACGGTCCCTGTGAGCAGCGGATTGCTTCCGCGTTGAGCCCTTGGCACTGACCTTTGAGACATCGTTCCCGTAGCACCTTATACCTGACCTTGGAATGTCACTCTGCCTCACAAAGATCATCTCTCTGGCACTTCCGCTTCCGGGGTTGGGTCAAAGCTATCGGTCGATCTCGTGGCGAGCCTTCCCCACCTACCTTACCTGGACCACCGTTAGCCCACCAACTTCCTTTGCAACCTGAACGCCCAACAACTTCCACTTCCACTGGGACTTGACCACCAACAGGCACTGGCTCACCTCACTACGCTCCGAAAGCTTCACCGTACTTTTCAGTTCAGCACGCCACTACTAGTTATTAAACCCCTTTGGGCATGGTCAGGGTACCTTTATCTCTCGTTATCAATTGAATCAGTCAAGAATACAATCAAGCGTTTATCGCCTTTGATCGCTCCCGGCTCGCTTTCGGGGCGAGCCTGCACTCTCGCTTCTCACTCGCCTACGAAAGAAAGCAAAAATACTAGACTCGACTTTTACACCTGCGCTTCCTCACCTGCCTCTCCACTCGTGCCTACTTTCACCAACCGTCCCCTACTCCATCCCTCTGCTTGGCTCTAGCCTTGTCCGGACCCTCCACCTCTCTGAGTTCTCGCCCCCTGAGTTGCGTTCTTTGTCTCGTCCATCTGAGGCCGACGGCTAGGAAAGCATACCCTGATTGGATCGACCGAGTTCATCAGTTTCCAAAGGGGTATAAGGTGCCTGTGGAACTGTTGTGGCGGGGAATGTCTCTTGTTGTGATGCTTGCTGCTCTGGTTCCCTTTCGCCCGTCGATTGGAGCGCTATTCGACCCGTTATCATTTCCTGATTAGACGACTTATCTTCTGAGAATTTGAGTTATTCGCTGCTTCCTTACTCCGATTTTGACTCTGGTTAGCCAAAGGGCGAATACGATGTCGGAGCTTTCCTATCTCTTTCTTTGTAAGAAAGACATCCATACGTAGGGTGTGGTCGAAGATCAGTGACTGCTTCCTTTGCTGATCAGCGATCATGCCCCCTTATTCTAGCGGAGGAACAGCTTCACATCGGATTCATTCCCTAGCTAATCCGCCTTCAAGCCTTGTTCCTTCTTCCGCTTCATCTATATAATAAATTAGCCTTGGTCTTTCGTTCGTAGTGGGATAAACTAACCTAAATAGTCAAGTGAAGGAGACCCACATGCCCACTTCTCCTTCCCCGCCCCATTTCTGGGACGGCCCTCGTTCTTATTGAGGATACCCCCGCTCAAATAAAGACTACAACCCCCCGCACTAAAGACCCGGTTCGTCTTCGACTCGAAAGCAAGACTAAAGAAGACTACATCCGGGCCACCCGGCTGGCACTCTTGTAATTGATGCTAAACTAATAGGTCCTGGTCCGACTAAACTAATTTTGGAAGAAATAGTTTAGTGCGGTCAGGAACCCGATTTGAATCCCGAGCCCCACAAGCCAATCTGAATACATAGAAAGAGCGGGGGACCCCGTTAATTGGGTGAGAAGGACTCCTAAAATAAGGAAATAAACAACGAGGAGGGTTTGGATGCCCTCTCTCTTATTCGCGAGAAGTATTTCTGCCAAGGGCCTCTTGCTCCTTTGGGCTTTCAAAAAAAAGAAGCTCGCGAAGATTCCATTGGATATCAAGAAAACTAAACTTACTAGAAAAAACGTCATTACTGATTTAGCCAGGAAATAACCTATCGATAAATTCCCTATTATATATAATAAATTGAAATTTTAAGTTCTGTTAGAGTATTGGAAAAAAATAAAAAAAGAGAAGAGCCGCGGCCGCGAAAAGGAAGTTCATGTGAATAAGTATTTCCTTTAGACCGTAGTCTAAAGAAAACTGAAGATTCAAAAAAGCGAGACTAAATAAAGGTATCAAATAGAAGAAAGGTTCTATTCTAGATCCTTCTTCAGATCTATCTTCTTTTTGAAGAAACAACTCGAAGCATAAAAATATAGCCTGAGAAACAGCAACTCGGTCACCAGACCGAATCCCCATTCACCCATTTTCTGATGATAGAAAGATTCGGGAAAGGAGCACCGCAAAAAAATAACATTAAAGAAAACATCATCACCTAACCACAAATAAAGATGAAAAGATGCTAACATAATTAGAAATAGCCCCACAAGGAAGCTGCACGGATCAGGCATTTGTAATACATAAAATAAAATTACGTTATTCACAAAAAAGAAAGAAGAGATAGGCTTCTTTCCTCGTAACTTTTAGCGACGCAAAGAAAAAGATGGCCGAAGAACCCCCCCAATTATGAGAGGCGAGGCCACTTCGCCCGGATACCAGACTACGTTAAAAATGCCCGCAACGATATTGTAACCGCATATAAGAAATGGTGTGAAATCCTTTTTTCTTCTCTACCATGACGAATCAATTGATTTAATGTGGGCATCGCTCTTTTCCTTTGTCCTTCCCCCTATTTTTGCCCTATCACTAGTGATTACTCCCGATCCGAAGCACCCCTTTTCCATTCATAGAGAGATCCAATCGTCAAAATCAATAAAAAGGCCATCATGGACCAAGATCCAAACGGATCAATCTTGTTGAGAGGTACTGCCCAAGGAAAGGAAAAGGTTACTTCCGGATCAAGGATAAATAAAATTGAAACAAGATAAAATCGTATATCGAAACGACTTCTGGCATCACCGAAAGGATCGAAACCACATTCATAGGCCGACAATTTTTCTGGATAGGTTGAACTATTGGAAGCAAATGGAAAAGGAACACCGAGTGGGATCAAAGAAACTAGCGGACTGATCACTAAATAGATACAAATAGGTGCAAATTCTGACATCACCACAGCCCACTTGGTTCTTTCGCTCCTTGCTCGCGGAGCGGCATAACGGAAAAAAAGTCGGAATTCTACAATTTCGTGGTCAGCTTAGCGAACGCCTCCGACTGGCGTCCGCCCCTCCCGGAGTGCGTCCAATATCGCGAAAAGCCTCTCGAGGGACTCCTCCCCCGGGGGTTTATCGAGCGCCCGAGCACCGCGTTCCAACCAAGGCCCTTCTGGGTCGAGGCGTGACATTTCCCCGAGAATCTCTGCTTTGACCTCAAAGAGGTCCTCGGCCCTTAGCGGGCGAACTCGCAGACCTCGTAGGTCAGCCCTCGTGCCCCGACAAGAGTCGCCTCTTTATGGTCTCGACACTATCGCCCCCTATCACCTGATCTGGTTGATACGGATAGGGAGCGGGGCCTTGGTTGGACGGCCCAGCTTCCTGGGAACCCGCTGGATTCGCGGGCGGTACAGCTTCCCGGGAACCCCCTGGATTCGCGGGCGGCGCAGCCTCAGAAGGGCGGGCTCCCCCCCGGCCTGTTTCCACCGAGTCTCTAAAGAGAGACTCCCCGCTTATGCCCGGGGAAGAGATTTCGAGCGGCGAACCAGGAAGCCGCTGCCCGACTCCCTGAGAAGGCTGCGAATTTCCTTCTTCCCCCCGGTTCGGGGGTATTTTGAACCCAGGCGGAAATACCCTAAAAAAGGAAGAGGAAGGATGGTCATCCCCCCCGGCCCCATAAGCATTCATCATAATACACGTAGAGGAAAAAATGGCCCCTACGGCAATAAAGAAAGAACTTCGGATCCAAAAAAAGTAAAAAAAACAAAATGAGATGCACGATTAGCTTCAATTGAAAGGGCATCTTTCTCCTTCTCCAATAAAGCCATAGATAGATAAAGATCAAAGCTAACAGAAAAACAGTAAGAAGCATGCAGTCAAATGGATTGAAATCAATAATATTCTGCAAATTTCTACGCAGCCACATGAGCATGTACTTATCAAACCTAAACTCAAGCCTCTCATAATAATAGGGAACTGTTACTAAAACGAGCCCCGCCAAGGTGAAAGGATTCGAACCTAAACAGATGCGCTGACCAGACTGCGCTACACCTTGTCTTACCCACTCACTAGCTCTTCGTCGTTCGCCTCACCTCACTGCCGATCGCCGCGCTCCTTATCTACGCTAAATGTCCGTACCGTACGTTCTTTTTCGCGAAGAGCGACCTCGACCGACCGAACCAACGCCTTATCAAACATACTTTGATTTTGTCAAGGCTCTCGCGGGCAGCCGTACATGATACCCGACGGTTTGCACCCGCCTGCGGCGAAGGCCTGGTCAATCGTATACGATCATCAAAATCGGAGTCGCTAACACCCATTTTTGAGTTGCCTCGTCCTTAGAGTCAAGCTGGATCTTCATTCTACGATAAATCTGCCTGCTGATTGTTCAAGTGGGCTGCGAGCGAAGGGAATAAACCCCGAGCGGGATCAGAGGGCACCCCCCCAAAAAGGAGGGGGAACTCTGAGCCCACGCAGGATACATGACCGACACTGAGCACTGCAGCAGCGAGCGGGTTAGCCAAGCAGCAGCTTCTTACGGGACGACTAAGTGCGCTGAAACCAACCTGCGGTTGGATCGCGACTTTCCTGTGCTAGTAGACGCGACTTTTCCCCCCTTACTGGAGGACCCGAATGAAGCCGCTTGGCAAGAAAGATTAAATGCTAGATTTTGCTCTGTCGTATTGTCTTAATTTATTTCATTTTTAAATTAATTCATTCCAAGCTTCATTCAATTATCTGTCTCGACAAGCTGAATTTTAATAGGTGTTCATTTCACAAGCTTCACCCAAACGATTTCACTCAAATAGGTGCGTGACTCTATCAAAGGATGGAACAGAACTCCAGTTAGCTCTAGATTCTCCTAGTGGTTGATTTTACCATATGGTAAGGTTGGTGCATTGTTATTGCCCGTAGCTACCTTCATTAGGTGTCCCCGACTGAGCTTAAAACCGGCCTGGTGGGCATGCGCCGGGCTAGTCTCCTGTTTCGAATAGGTTTTGGGTAAGCAGAATTTAGGCGAGTTGTTGGAATCCGCTTTGCGCAAGCTTTCCCGGCATTTTTGGATGACATTTATGTCTGTAAATATTATTTTTGTAAGGTTCGACTTAAAACGGACAAGAGGAATTCTCTTCATGGCTTACTGGAAGTTCGGCTAACTCTTCCCTTTAGAGTGAGTTTTGAACGTTCTTAGCGAAACTCTCGGCGATTGAAGGGCGGCAGCAGCGGTTCATCAAGCAGCAGCTCACCAATCTGTTTTATGATCAATCAATCCATCCGGGTGCAGGAGAAAGCGAAGCGTATGGGTTATTGGAAAGGTAGTGGGCACACAGTAAGCATGGGTCGATTTCAGGATGACGACTGCTATGTTTATTTAGCTTTTGTCACACAAAAACGACATTTTTCTGTTCTTAACAAAGTGCGGAGTTACCTTTTCGCTGGGTTTGTTGCTTAAGCGCGTAAGCAGCATGGTCATCACTTTCTTTGATTTGATGATCATGCATTACGGTAATAACTCAGCGCGCAGCAAGACCTCTTCTCGCAATTGACGTCTTTTTAAGACATTATCCCCCTGTCGCTAAATGCCAGATTCCAGAAAATGTCGTTTGATTAATAGAAATTCTGATATGTTTGTAAAAAAAATTTAACTTGCTTGCACTGTGTAGGAAAAATGCCTATGACCCATAGTTTACAGGAAATCTCGATTTCTACTTAGAGAGGATCACTTATGGGATCGTTTCTTGACACGAAATTGGCGATTGTTAGCGGACGGCTGCACCTCATCATTGCTACCCTCGAAATTAATTGGCTAGCTAGCTAGAATATGCATGTCGCTTCTCTGAGCACTTTTACTCACTACTACTTTCTTCCCGTCCCTTTTTTAATTTCAACTAAGCTTGGCACAGCCGCCTAAGAAACTGCTTTCAGTCACGGTCGCGGATCAGGAGAGAGTTACTTGTGTGACGCATCTATATCTGGGGATGATCGGGTAGAACTCAGGGCTGTCAGGTGTCAATCGGGGAACGATCGATTGGGTGTCCGGGGTGCAATAAAGATAGGGGACGATACGCTTCGCCGTGCCAGCTATGAGGCTATATTCTCGTTGAGTCGGGCGCGTGGGAAGACTGTCCTGTCGGGTTGGAAAACCAACATCGGACCGGGATGTTGTTCCCTCCTTGTCTGAAAAGATTCGGGAAAAATCGGGTAAGTTCGCTCTACACTGTCCCTTAGATTGGGAAGGACATAGGCTCGGCACATTTCGTAGCTATCATCGTCGCGTCCGTCAAATTCAGGCGTTGGTACATTCTGCAGCTTTTCGGTACACGGCCTTGCGTTGTCGTCAGCCGTACGCCGTTGAGCAGCAGTCTTTAGAAGCATGTCATCTATGAACGATCCGATGAAACTAGAGATGGAATAAAACCTAGCTTTTCGTCACGCGAATTCGCCGCCAGTCTTTGAGGTCGCCTTCCTTGCTTGACAGTAATAGCCTGCGGGTGAAATACTAGATGTCGGATTGTACATGGGAATGATAATGGTGAGGCCATTGAATGAGAAATCACGACCTTAAACACTTGCCTGTAGCTATAGTGTCAACTTGACGCGCTGAACGACTATGATCAGAATCCTTTCGGGGTCTAGCACTGATATTTCCGCTAATTGGATCGGCCAGGGTGAAGGGCTTAACTAAGTATTAGTTGAGGGCGAAGGGCTTAGTACCATGAGGTTGCAATCGGGCCACCAAGTCCATTATGTAGTCTGGGCTGCCTGTCCTTCTCAAGGAGTGGACGGGGCATAGAACATGTGCGTTTTCCGATCGGGGATTGGTCTGTAGTCCTCGTTTTCATCGTGTGATGATTTAGATGGGGCCTCTGAAGCGTCTACTTATAGTTATAGTCGACCTTCTCTTGACCTGAACTCTCGTATAGGTGAACTTGTTTTGTTCAATTCTTAGGAAAGAAGGATCTACTGGAATGGTAGGGCTCCCTCGATGTCGTTGGATGAAACTGGTGGTCGGATTACCCCTTCGTACGGTAACAAATCCCACGCATATCTTCTTTGTCTGTCACACCGTACGTCGCCCGGCTTAGGGTAGGGGGCAGCCCCCCCAACAGACGTAGGTTGCGTATGAGCCTCCAGTAGGACTCTGGCACCCGAACTGTAGAAATGGGTCCCGAACTAGAGGTGTTTTGATGGGTGCTCTTTGGGTTCTTAGATCCGGCGGCTACTTTACTCACTTAGCACCCTACGTAGGCGGGGGGAATCAACACCCCCCTCAACTGCCAATGGCCAAATCCTTACCCATACGAAACTTGACTGAGCGAAATTAGCGACTTTTCGATCTGCTGTGGCCTACTAAAGAAACTCTACCTTACAATGTTCATTATAGAATACTGCGTATCCATTTTTCCTCCCTTTCATTTCATAATACGATTAGCCTAATCTGCGAAGGTCGGTGAAATGCAGAAATGCAGGATGACCAAAAACGAACTCACGGAAGTTCGATCAACTATTCCCCCCTAAGGCTGAGGTCTTTGATGCGCTTCTTCATCAGTTCTTTCGTCATTTATCAATTGTCTTTCAAGGCGGTTTCTTTTCTTCTTTCTTAGGTATCTTCTCGTCTGTCTTAGGTATCTTTTGGTCTTTCTTAGTTTTCTCGTCGTTAGTCACCTCTGTTTGTTCTTGTTCTTCTTTATCTAATAGCGTTTCTTTCTTCAGTAAGACTTTTCTGTCTCTCTGTAGTGTATTGAGTGTGCATCCTTTTATCTGTATTCTTCTTAGCATCAAACTGTGATATCATCTCTTTGTATCTCTCGGCAAACTCTCTTTCCTTCTTAGATAATTTCTCATTTAGAATTTCATTTTCAGTCTGTAGTTGTATTAAAGCATTCCCTAGTTTTTTTTTTTTTTTTTTTTTGTTTGTTCCTGGCTAGACAAGTCTTGGATATCAATTGGATCAGTATCCACCCAGACATCTCTGTGATATACTGGTATCCTCTTGGTCCCCCAGCTGAAGCCCAACCCTGACCATTGTGTCTTTCTTGATGATGTTAAGAGTGTGCCAATCAATCCGGAAGTTGGCTTCCACCGGTACCTGTTTTGTACGAGATGGGTCCGCGTACTGTGACTCAAACCATTCTTGATTGACCTGGTTTTTCGCTGGTCCCTTGTACTTGAGTATATTGGAGCCACCTATTGCGATGTAGCAATAGGATTTCGGTGCTAAAAAGTATCCTTTCATGACTCTGTCCTCTAGCTTAAACTTACCTAAGACAGAAGAAGAAATCACTTCTTTAGGTAGTGGCTGACCAAGCACAACTGAGTCTGTGTCCGTGTAGTAGCAGTCCTCTCTTGAGATATAAGGGTACATATAGATCCTAGCAGAGGCAGTGATCGCAGCAGCTAGTTGGACAGCAGAGTTCTTCGGTGGATTCCATAATCTGAGCCCTTCTCGGTATTGCTATGGTAGGCAACGATGTAGTTGTTCTCGCTAAGCATATCACCGAAGATGAACTCACTATGCCTGATCAAATGTTTTGTATCGATCTTTATCGCAGACCTCGGTTGTCGTGCTTTTAGGGTTAATGCCAAATCTACCGTATAGCGAATTCATAAGGATCTTGTACACATAGGACATGGCCATCATTACCTGATATCCTTTGCCTCTAACCTGCTCTCAAAGAGTGAGCTAACAAAGTCCCTGAATGGGCTTTCCATCCTCTCAAAGAGGTAGCCTGAGATTGGGATTACAGTGTAGCCTAGGCCTCTTGCATACTTTACTCCTCGCAATAGTACACTCCAACAAATTCCCCGGTTGGAAAGATGAGAGTGTTCTTCTTGTTGTCTCGATAGGGTAGAAAGGGCTTCTTGATAGTCTTCGGACATACCACATATGCCTCAATAAAGCCAAACATGCTATCTAAGTCCTTGCCTTCCAGATTTCCATGCCAGACTGGCACACCACCAGGCATTGGAAATTCCTTCATTACAAAGGGATAGAGAGAGTTTCACATCGTAGTAGTATAGGTCCTCGCCATATGGCTTGTATACATCTGTATGACCACCGTAGTAGGCACGCCTTATAAAGCTGTCTTCATTCTTGTTTGGGATTTGGATTGGCCATTAGAAGCATCGTATTATTTCATACGAAAGATGCTAAGAGCAAGTGAGGAAAGGGTTATCTTGCTTTCTATGTCCACCTTGTACAGCTTCCAATATATCTCTTGAGCTTTTTGCATTACACCTCCAAGGAGAAGGATGTCCTGCTTCATATAGTCTAACAAGTTCTTTTTCATACTTGCCAGATTTGACAGTGTCACCTCATCATATGCGATAGAGCCTTTCGGGCCAAGACCCGGGCATAGATTCTTAGCTAGGGAGGCAAGTTTGCCAGGGAGTAGATTCAAGGAGTCTCTGAGCGGAATAACATCTTCGTACCAGAATAGACAGCTAACTCGTATAGCCTATGGTTCCTCATCATGGGTTTAGCTTGTAGCTCTTGTGATGACATGCTAGTGCTTAAGCAGAGAATTCCATCGAATCTAGGAAGTTGTGGAAGTAAATTGTTAAGGGATTGTTCTTGTCTAACAATCGTTGATATCCTTAATACCAAATCATAAAGTACCTTAGTACTCCTTTCTTCAAAGGAATCCAAGATTATAGAGTAGTCTTCACTGAAGTAGCTATCCATCAGAATATCATAGATCTGTTCACCGGACGAACCATCAAGAGACCTGCAGCATAAGGCTATGAACATTATCGATCAGTAGAGTCTCCGTATCGGCTACAATGAATGGTTTCAGCTCAGTGCGACATGGTTTGAGTGCTGTGATATGGGTTGGATAGCTACGATTACGATTTCGGATCTCTCTTGCTGTTATTGGCTCGATCTCACTCAATCCGGCTTGAATGATTGAAGAAAGTGAGCTATCTCTCTCCTCTGAAGATAGGGCTGGCCTATCCATCTTTTTGCCGTCCATATAGACTCGGATCATGAGTCGAACTATATAATCTCCGTTGTAGATTTCTGCATATTTCATAATTGATCGAGATATATGAGCATAGACCTCACTCATTGGAATTAACTTACCATCGGGATCAGTCAAGGGGATAGCAGGACCTAGCGTAAATGAGATCTCCTCTCCGTAAGATCGCTTCATGGTAAAGGAAATTGTGAACTTACCGTAACCAGATAAGGATGGGTAAGCAAACTGGATTAAGAGAGACATGGGTCGCAAGACAGAGTAGGTCAATCTCGTTAACAAGAGGGGGAGGCTCGATGAAGTGATGTGAAGCCATGATTAACCCAAGATGCGGATCTTGGTGTGTTGTTCGTTCAATCTTTTATACAAGCGATTCAATAACTGTCCAGTAGTTGAGCTGTCTGTGTGTATGCCATCATCTTATGATTCATACTTAATAGTGTACGCAGTAGTAATTTCCCTCCCCGCTTATTAGCTTTGACTTGAATTTATCCCACTTTTCCTCATGAGCTCGAAAACAATCCCTAGGGTTAGGGGATTGAAAATCACCGCATACATAACGAGTATAGTTCTCGTAAGAGGTCAGTATTCCCGAGATCCTTTCTTCCCCAGTTGCCATCATCTTCTTGCTTATGTTCTCAGGTACATTAGCCTTTAAGTAATAATGAAGAATCTCTTTTGAGATTACCTTATCGGCAAAGTAACCCTCATGAGGTCCAGCTGACTCCACTTTGACAATAGTTTTCATAATATTCATATAGATGAACTCGTTGAGGATTGAAAGTGGAGGGCCCATCTCACAAATGACCTTGATATAAATTATTGGTAGAAAATAGCTATATTCAGCTGTAGTTATAAAGTTGTCGTGTACTGTGTATATAGGCGCACCCTTTTCAAGCATACATTCTACTACTTTCATTGCAATATGGGCATCCCTCTGATGGATGAAGTTTACGAAGGTAGAGATTTCAGTCTTCCTACGATCTCTCTTAGAAGAAGAACTCTGAGAGTCACCCGACGCCTCTTCTTATGAAGTCCCATCATAAAACCATACATTTATGGGATCCATTTTCATATAATCCTGTACCGTGGTAAAGGAAGGGACTCTATAGAAAACTGGGCTATCCCTAGCAGACGCGATCCAGCCTATATGGCGGATCAACCGGATCAGGCATTCCGTGTTCTGATATTGCGTCCTCCAGAACTTAAAGCAGACAGAGGCAACATCGAAGCATTCCTTATGAGTGATGAAGCGAGAGAGAGTGTCTTTTAGATCGCTGGCCGTGCTCATTAAAGTTTTGCCATAGATCATAGGCATAAAGATACCTTTGACTAGCTTACGAGTGAGCACATTGCAAACTATCGTTGATAGATGATTATTATCCAGTTCTGCTTTCATGAACACCTTGAGATCTTCGAGGATGAATGAATAAACATCTTGGATTTTTCCATCCAAAGATGGATGAGATTCGTTCTCGAAGCCAGGCTTTCATCCAACACAAAAGTAACTCATAATCTGATATGCACTCGCTGAGGCGTCTTGGGTTAAAGGGATGCGCGTAATAACCTTCAAATTTGGAGAGGTAACTCCAATTAGATGGCGAAGAGCTGAAAGGGGCGTTTAGCCTCCCGAGCGTACATGAGAAGATCATCATCATGACTGAGCTGCAGAGGTTGTTATTAGAAAAGTATAATGCCTCGTCGACAGAGACGAAAGACTTGTAATGGAAGGCTTCTGCGGCGAGATATCATTCATGTCATATTGCCACTAGATTTGATATCCGCAAAGACGATCATGCTTCTTGCTAGATCACGCTCGTGGAAATGCAAGACACCACTGCGGTAGATTCGACCTCGGAAGTCGAGAAAGGCTGGCAAATAAAAATGATAACCTTCGTAGGCTTGTGCCAGCTTCATAATCAAAATTCTCATAACGAGAACGCTGTATTTCTTAGATAAAGTATTAACAATTCGCTAAAGTTACATAATTTATTAATAACCTCATCCTTCATGTGAAACTCTCTAAGTAAGTTGGATACATCTTTGATATTCATAGAGGATAGAAATCTTGGCATGAGTAAACCAATTCACCAATTAGATCCTCATTATATTTAAGACATTTCAACCAATGACTGTTGATTTAAGGCCTGACCCTGCAGCTTGTTCATTACAAGACACAGTTTTCTCGTAATTCTTTTCTCTTCCAATATCATATAAAAATGATTATGTCACCTGAACTTAAGAGGCGGTAACGATCATATAGGCCACCTGTTGGCCCACTTAAGTAACCCCCTGATAGATCGGACAGGTATCTAGGATTTTGATCACCCCGGCAGGCACTCGTCCAATCTCGAGGTTTGCATACCATAGGCAGGTTGAGCTTGATCGGTAGTAATGAAATATCAAAGTTGCCGACTGCGTAGAGATGGCTTGGAAGAAAATAAGATCCTTTCTTCTTCTTCACTCGAACAGTACCGCTCAAATCAGTCACTAAACTGATCAATTTCCTTTCCTCCATGAATTGAACTAAGCCGGAACCGAAGGGATACATCATCACCAATTTGGATCTTTTCCTATCCTTACCAGACTTCTTCACTTTGAAATCATTCGTGGCACTAGAAAACGGTTTATTACACCTGCCGCTTTTCAATAATGAAGCTTGGTGACGGACACTAGACTCTAGTTGTTCAACCAAAGAAGCAACACGATTAGTGAGTTAGATTCAACTGAGTAAAAAACATACTTAGTACATGAACTATTAATGCCTCAATCGTATATTGACCGAACTCTGAAAGCAATTCAAGATCATCCTTTTCGAATGGCCTTCTCCTGAAAAATCCTTAGCACTTTCCTCATTTTCCCTGATTAAGATTTTGATTATGTCGGAAGCTGACCTAAAATAGATTTCTCATCGAACCATATAGTAATCTCCTCAATTTGCTTTTGGATCTCACTTAATTCATCTACACTTAATGGTAATCTTGTTTTTGCTTCTTCCAAAATATCGAAGGCGGTTTCCTTATACTGAACTGAGTGACTCTTACCATGTTGTCCACTCTTGTTAGTATTTTGCAATAAATAAGTGTAAAACTCATTCCAAAACCTTATTAGTTTCCTTTTTGTCTTCCTCTTTTCTAGGCATATCATCCAATGATCGAGTAAGCCAGTTTTTGTGATTCATGTCTTTCCTTTTTTTTCAGTTTGAAGTAAAACATGGGATTTCACTGAAATTAGCTTGAGATTCCTTCGCTGAAATTCGATTCCTTCGCCTGAGATTCCCTGCGGCTTGAGATTCCTTGTCAGAAATTCGATTCCTTGGCTTGAGATTCCTTTGCTATTAATTTTTCAGTTGTCGCTACCCATTACTGGACGATCAGTATTCTTTATACCACACCTCGCTATACTATATTAATGAAGTGGGGGAGAACCCTAGCCACGCTCAGGCTTTGAGTGGAATAAATATGAAAGCATTGAACCGATCGAAATAGGGAAGGCTCGAGAGACCTGCATATAGTTGGCAGGGCCAACCAATTACGCTTACCAATGATGATATGGGTTTTCAAAATGCTTAGGCCTCCTTCGGTTCATCAAGGAAAAACCCTACCCTCCCTTTCTGTCCTTGAGGCTGGGTTAATTGAACTAATCAAAGTGTCGCGGAAGCCCCTACTACAACCTTTGTTTGCTCAGGCTTACAGGAGCTAACGTTGAAACGTCTCCCCGGATCGAGATTCGAATCTTCCGCTCTCCGCCAGCTCCTGCACAAATCTCTTCTGCCACCGTTGGTTCTATCTTTAACATGCAAGCCTTTGAATTCGGTTCCTATCTACCGTTGGTGTTAAAGGGAGCCGGCAGCTATTATTCAACTTTCATCTTTCTTTTCTTTGAATGAGGGGAATGTTTTTGCTAAAATGCTTCCTGGCTTGAAGTTGGGAGATTATCCTCTACCTTCTTTCAGGCTCACTCTAACAGTTCCTTCAGTCTGCCACTCTCTCTTTCTTATATCTGCTATTTATTGCGGAAGGGCCCCAAGCGGACCGTACCGGGCCTCTCGAACGAACCTTCCGGTCGGGTCTTAAGGAGAGCAATCATAGACCAGGGGAGAAACCATTTACAGGATCAGGAAGGTCAGAGCTGTCGTTGATATGCAAAACAGAGGAAAAGATATCCCTATAACCAATCTCACTTTTTAGGATTGTACCTTCGCGCACTCCTTTGTTCCACCACAGAGCATTACAAGCAAAAATATCCGACAATTTATGATTTATAAGAGGGCAAGTAAATCGCATTAATAAACTTTAAGGAATTCCAGGAGCGGGAGAAGCTGTAACTGAAGCAGGAGAACGGGAAATTCCATTTCAAAGAAGATAGATGAATGGGGTACCCGATTGACATCGTAACCATTAACGAAAGAGAAAGGGCATTTAGAAGAATCTCAGAAACATGGCGATCGATTCGACCGATCAAGAACAGAGCGCGGCTAAGTCCTACCACTATTATTGCTTAAGCGCATTCATCCACAACAGAATCCACTCACTAAACTAAAGTCGAATAAAGTCCGTACGCTTGAATGAAGCCCTACCCTACGCTTGAATGAACTCCTGAAACATCCACTTCAATTGATTCTACTTCATCTCCCCCGGGCACCCCTTTCTCTCCTTACCAGCCTGGACAAGACGGATGGGATGAAGGATAGCGGACAAAGCAAGCCAGCCAACAAAGATTGATCCAGTTGCTGTTGGGGACTTTCCCGGGGATGGGAGTCCTTCATATCATATGAGGATTCACCTCTGAAACTCGAAAGAGGGTCCTACCCTACGCCCGACAACAAGAATCGCCTGAGCCAATTAGCTGTTGCCGACCGTGCTTCACTCCACCTCGCTTCCTTCCCCAGATGATTTTGCCTACTCATTGACCAGTGACTTCGGCATCGAGACACTGACTCCCAGATCAGCTAACCACTCTTTGTAAGGCAGAGCAACTTTCTGATCCCCAATGACAATATCGTCACCAGTGGGATTGGGGGCTATGAGTTGAACTGAACTAGACCTGTAATCAAAACTGTGGACATGGGTTAACTCCTATCCTGTAGGGACTATCCCACATTGAATCGACAACAAGTATCTTTCCTTTCAAAGATTGCTGCTTGAAACGAAGTCTGACTCTTCCGGATACGCAACGCCCCGGCCTTACGACGGCTACTTTTATTGAAGAATTCGGCGTAACGACAGCTTTCGATGGCAATCCTTGATTGATTTCGGAAGGGGTGCGAAAGAGTTCAACACTACGCTCATTTCGTAGATCTACGATTTCAGGGTAAAGGATTTTTGCTTAGCTGCTTAGCGAATCCCCTTGCTTTTATGAAACTGTTAACATTATCTTTGTTTTTCTCGATGCTTTGAATAGCTATCCGGATAGCAGAAGTGCAATCATTTGCGAAAGCTCTTTCTTCGCGCTCTTTTGAATCTAAGTTCTATTCGTCCTCGGGCACTCTTCCAAAAACGATCTGATGTCTATATGCTTAACACATGAAATTGGCCTTGGCTAGAATAGCTAATAGGCGGGTAGATTGGTTGTCATACCCCTGTCTTTCCTCTTTCTTACTTCCGAGTTGGTGAGTCACTTGCTAGTGTCGACATAAGCACTTTCTCGGTTATAACTGTTAGTCCTTCTTCCAGCGTAACCATTGGATTCCCAGGAAGAGACGAAAGATACTCGCGAAGAACAGTCAAGTGGATGGAAATAGCATAAATAGAGCCAAGCCTTCTCTAAAAGAAGCAAGTGCAAGTCCCAGGAAAGCAGCTACTAGCTAATGTCAGAGGATCTTTGCTTGATTCGACTTCTGCCTTGATGTGCCTCCTCCTTTTTCAATATGAAATTCGGGTTGGTCAGTCACACAAAAAGGAGTAGCGAAGGGTTCAGTTGCATTAACTTCTGCGGATACGAGGGAGAACTCGCTATTCCTAATACTAAGACTGCGTCTCTTGCATACACTTACTAAAATGCAGATAATCTTGAATGACCGTCGGGCATTTTCAGGTGGCGAAAGCCCAATGTATTCATTTTTTCTTTGATTCCGCCCGTAGGCGCTAACAAATAAGTAAGAAGCAGGTCCGATAGTGAAGGGAGAACACTTGCTTGGTACAACTCTCATGTGGACGTCCTGCTTGATACAAGCAATCAGTAGAAAATAAGACAATAGGCAGAGGCTATTAGTCAAGCGGGGGATTCCCTTAGGAATTTAGTGAATATGATACCTTCTATTCTATTGATCTGGAATTGGGCCAATACGATTGATAGGTAAGGTAGTCGCCTTTTCAGGTAATGGGCTAGAGGAAGCAAATTCCTCTGTCCACGCGTGGACTAGACCGATTGAAAAGATTGGAAGGCCGGGTCAGGCAAAAAGACGGGTATGACTCTCCTAGAAGAATGGACGTGTAGAAGCATCCCGATTAGTTTATACCATTTGTAATTGGTAACGAAAAGGATTGTTGATGCTCTGCTTGTACACAAGAAGTCGAATCCGGCTTTTTCTTTTGATTATTAGGAGTATGCCAGGTACTGCTTTTGGATGATCATAGGCCCTCAGATAATGATTGTGTCAGTGCATGATGACCCGAAGTCTTAGTGTGGCTGACAAAGGGGCTTACAAGAATGAACTGTTGAACTAGCTCGCGCGGAAAAGATATATCTGTTAGTAACGAAGAAAGTGCTAATCTCGCAGTCAACTGTTAAGAAGCGGCGGAGAGAGGTGTAAATCATGAATCAGCAAGCCTTCCAACAAAGGATTTCGCCGTGGAGATTTGGTGATAGGCCTGCGTTGGCACATAAAATAAAGACTTTCCAACCCGACCGGAAATAGAAAAGATTGAAGCTCCTTGCTTGGGTTCGGTTATCATTAAATGTATAGGGCCACTTTGGGTATTGAAGTGAAGATACTTGCATAAATATAAACTTCGGGCGTAGAAGAGAAGCCCTTTCTGATACGTCAAAAAAGAAGCCGATTCTACGCCGTAAAGGAAGCGTGTGCCCAATCACTAACCAGGAGGTGGTGTTCATCAAGCCCTCTCTCCCGGACTTAACCTAGACCTTTGTCCGGCCTAAAAACCCTTTCTATCTAAGCTAGAGTTCCATGGCTCCTCACTTAGAGAGCACCCCAATCCCATGTGCTTCTCGATATTCTATCCAGCAAGGGGCGCTGCCCTCTCCCTCGCTATTCTCCACCCGCTTACCTGACTTAAACTTAACACATTTGAACCGGAATACGGATGAGATAAAAAAGCTAAAGCACGAGCAAAAAGCAGAAAATTAGGATTTTCGATGAAGGCTGAAATTACGTAAAGAAAAGAAGTTCCATTTCCTGTGAGATGCCCAAAACCCCCATGTTTTTCTTGGTTGGACCAACCAGATTTCCTACAAGTCTTTCTGTTAGAGCAAGAAGCAGAACTACGAGTGAATATGAATGGGTCATGATGTCCCGAGCCCTAAAAAAGGCGAGAAGTTTGCTAATATCCCCCTACGGGGATATTGGCAAATTTTCTTCGTATTGGATTTTTCGGGTTTTATGTGGTACCTCTCAAAAGGGGGAGAAGTCCTCGCCGCTGCTGGGTGAGAAGGCTGCCCCTAACGTGAGCGTACCCGTAGAACGTCTTTTGTTCTTATTCGAGAAACGATTTGCCATTATTATGGGTGTATTTGTCCTAGTTGTACTTCTATTGTTTATTTATTTGTTTAAAAGCCTTTTTCTCCACCATTCTGTCTTGTGTGAGATCATCGAGTGGAACCAAAGTCTGGGTCTGCCGATCGATCTCACATACGGGTGGAGAGAGGGCGTAAAGTTAAGCACCGGGCTTAAGCCGCCCAAGGTGTGAAAAGAATAGCGTTGAATCTTGAGAATGAGAATGTAGGGATTGTTGTCTTTGGTAGTGATACCGCTATTAACGTCGGCTTATCTGTCAGTCGCGTTGGGTCTGCCGCTCAGTTGAAAATTATGAAACAAGTCTGCGGTAGTTCAAAACTGGAATTGGCACAATATCGCGAAGTGGCCGCCCTTGCTCAATTTGGGTCAGACCTTGATGCTGCGACTCAGGCATTACTCAATAGAGGTGCAAGGCTTACAGAAGTACCGAAACAACCACAATATGCACCACTTCCAATTGAAAAACAAATTCTAGTCATTTATGCGGCTGTCAATGGATTCTGTGATCGAATGCCACTAGACAGAATCTCTCAATATGAGAGAGCCATTCCAAATAGTGTAAAACCAGAATTACTACAATCCCTTTTAGAAAAAGGTGGGTTAACTAACGAAAGAAAGATGGAACCAGATGCATTTTAAAAGAAAGCGCTTTAATATGAAAAATAAAAAAAAGGGGTTTTGAGTAATCCCTTATTTTGTGGAGGGTAAACCCCTCCCTACTTATACTGCGGGTCTTCCTTCCGCCTCGGAGACCCACCAATAAATTTCTGCACCTTCAAAACATATATATATGCGGGCTCCCCTGCTAGCTTACCTGTTTTGGTAATAAGGCTAGTGAGATGCAGAATAGGAATCTCTTTTTTTCCGAAAACAAAATGGAAGACTTTTATCAAATCTCATTGCTAATAGGTTTTGGTACACTTAGTCTCTTGCCCGTTGTTGGGCTTTTTTGTAAAACTCTAGGGAAGAGAGAAGCAACTAAAACTGTAATTGTAACTGGATACCCCTCTTCACTAGCCTCACTGGCTTCCACAGACTCAGGGGTTTTATGTACTACTGGAAATAAGATATGCTAGAATGGAATATGCTAATACAGGAGGTAATATCCCATCGATAAGGAAGGACTTAAATTCAACTGTTTCGATGGGACTAGACAAATTAGCCACATCCAAGGGATCTAAAAAAAAGGGAAGTCAGAACTTGCTGGCTTTACTTGCTTTGCCTTCAAAAGAGGTTATGGTTACACTTCCCCTTTCTGGCTTGCTCATATCATAAAATCACTTTCTTGAGGGTCTAAACTTTCCACTTGTACCAGTATTGAGATGTTTTGGATTTGGATTTGGAGTTGGAAGTGGTATCATCAAGGTAACTAAACTCATCTTTTCTGTACAGAGAAATAGGCATAGAAACAGAAACGGAACCTGGTCATTTTGTTTCTATGATTGAGATTCACCACTATTATGAGAAAGGGGAGATAGGCTTCCTTGGTCCTACTTACCGGGAAGACAACACAACGTTGAGCTGTAAGTACATTAAGGAGAGTGCAAAGCACCAGAGAAAAAACCCATCTTCCTTGATAGGGGGAACTCTCTCTTATTGTCTTGCTAGCTTGCAACCATACCATCTTACAGACCCTACAATCGGGACCTTCTTTCTTACCCTCAGGGGGGAGACCGGATTCCTTTCTTTCCTATTTAGAACTGCAGATTTGTCTTTGTCGCTGGTTCGGACGTGCATCGGCGGCCCCCTTTCCACTTCAATCGTGGAAAGTCAGAAGCAAGAATCATTGATTCCTGACCCCCTTATCTACGACAACTCCAGATCAACTAATTTTCCTTCTAGTTGAGAACCACTAAGGGTAAGAGCAGCATCTTAGGTCTGATGAGAGCCTGATCTACTCTACGACAACCCTGATTGTTGTATTCTCGGTCCCCTACCTTTACTATTATTAGTAAAGCCCTCTCCTTGGGATCCCCATCTGTGTAACATAAGCCTTATTGTATTGCGCGCTGAACTATTTAGCTTTCTCCTAGTGCTTCCACCCGCGGTTCTTCGTTCCTCAGCTCTTTATTGCTTTTATCTCGACACACTGCCCCTGCTTTGGCTTGTAGGCTTGTTAGCTTCGCAACCTCTGCTCTGGAAGCAGCTTATGCCCCGGACCTTATTGAGCACCGGGATAGGAATATTAATAAGGCTATGTGCGAACTCTCGTAGATCACTCCCGGATGTAACCCTTCTTTCAGTCTTATCCGCCCCCTTATTAGGCTTTCAGTGAAGTGAAGGAAGAAGGGTTCTTATAAGAGAATGAGGTACCGTTCGGACCCCTTATTCGCAAGGGTTCCTCACTCAAGTAAGGGTGATAACGGGAAGAGAGAAGTTATCTATTAGCTAGGCTGGTGGAGGTCCTCAATCGATCTCTAGCCGTGTCTACGCCATATCTGTCTCAAGTGTTAGTTTTCAGCGGGTGAGGAGTTGAAGGGCCATGTTTAACAATGTTGTCCACTGGAACCCATTCCATGGTTTTGTTGCCTTCGGCTTTGCTGAGGTTATCATGGAGATTTCAGGCAAACCTTCTTCCTCCTTAATCTTTAGCTGAACACGAGTTCGCGGAGGTGTAATGAGTTGGGATGGATCGAACTTTCCTACTTCGGGCTCTGTTACCAGAGGATGCCGCTTCATCAGCTTTGCGCTCATGTGAAATGATTAAATCCCGAAAGTCTTCCCTTCTCTGCTTCATGCATTGCCGCTCGATATACTCTTGCATTTCGATCATGCGATAGCTTTGGTCAGGGTCTTCTGGAGGTGATTCTTCCACTGACTCGCAAGGTATAGAGTTGACAGCTGTGGTCACTTCTGTGAGTAGACGCATCATGGGGCCCGGCCCAGTGGGAGGGTCAGTGGACCACTGTGGATGAGGTATCATTGGAGGTGGAGCTAGAGCCGCCATGTTTCTTCTCGGGTAAAGGACAAGATAATCAAACTTTCCTGATGGGTCTCCGAGAAGGTCTACCTCAGGATCTCCTGCTTCATATCGTTCCCGTCATTTTTGCTGATAAGTTTTATTCTTTCTCGGCTTAGGCTTCCGTTCTCTCTCGGCTTCGAGCTCGAGATCAGTTTCTTGTGCATTTTGGAAACAATCATCACAGTCGCAGATGTCCCACCATATGTGGCCTGATTCAGTCTTCCCTTGATAGATGGGTGATCCATCCAAAGAGTAGGCGATGATGGGGAATTCAGAGGCTGCAGCGGGCCGAAGTGTTCCATTCTTGATTTGAGGGGCAAGAGCAGTAAGTGTGAATGCTGGCTGATGTTGTGTTGTGCCAGTGGGCTGAGATGGTTTCGATTCTGAGGGGCCTGCCGAGCGAACCATGTTGATTTCAGGGAGATCATTCTCTGTTTTCAATTCTCAAGTTCAAAGCGTAGCAGGTGTTGTTCTCGGAGATCTTGGATCTTGTGTCTTAAAGCGAAACATCTGTCAGTCGTATGACCTGGACTTCCCATGTGATAGTAATCTGGATCAAACTTTCTTTGTTCCTTTTTGGGAGGTGATGGATTAGGTCTCGTGCCTTCTCCTGTTGGTGCTTGTGGTTGAGGAATCTGAATCCCAGGTTGGTTAGTCTGCTGAACCTGTCCTGGTGATAATATAAGGGGCCGCTGAGTGGATGGCTGTACGTATATTCTCTGCTTTTGTGGATGGTCATTTCTAGACGGGGCGGAGGTGATGACCTGAACTTCTCCTCCTTTCGGCCCGGTTTCTGTTCTTTTGGTCTGTACCCTCCTCGGGATAGTGCTCGTTCCTGACTGTTCCAGCAGCGACTGCAATGCCTGTATGTCAACCAGGCGCCCTGATTTGACTCCATCTTCCACTCGCTCACCTACTATGACCAGGTCTGCGAAACTTGACGTAGTGTGCCCGATAAGGTGGGAGTAGTATGGATCTTTCAATGTGTTGAGGAAAGCACCGACCATCTCTTTTTCAACCATCGGGGGTTTGACCTGTGCTGCGAGTTCCCTCCATCGTTGGGCGTATGCCCTGAATGACTCGCTACCCTTTTTCTGCATACGTTGGAGCGGTCCGGTGCCATTTCAGTGTTGAACTTGTATTGTGACAGGAAGGAAGTGGCTAGGTTAGACCATGTTCGGATCCGGCTGTGGTCTAACTGGACGAACCACCTCTGAGCAGGGCCGGTCAGACTTTTTTTGGAATTGCTGGATGAGTAGTCTTTCATTATCGCCGTATAAACACATTTCTCCACAATAGACTTTCAAATGGGTAAAAGGACAGCCTGTTCCATCATATTTGTCTAAGTCTGGAGTTTTGAACTTGTGGGGGAGTTTCATATCCGGGAAAAGCATAGGTCAGAGAAACTGGTACTGCCATAAGAGTCGATCCCCTGTAGGCTTTTGACCTTTTCTTCTAAGCTCTCTAGCTGATTGGCTACCTTCTTTTCTTCGGCTTTTTTCTTCAACTTGTCATCCTGATTACCCTCTTGGGACTCTGGGATGGTGATGTAAACTGCATTCTGAGTGGTGACGGGAGGATTGCTGGTGACCTGAGAGGATCCTGGTCCTATTTTGAATCTCTCTATTGGAACTTATACAAATATGGATACTGGGTCTATTGAAAATATAAAAGATACTGCTATTCCCACAACTGCCACTCCTCTAACTGGATCGCTGGGAACTGGCATTAGAACTCCATGGGCTTATGTGCCTTAAAATAGGACTCGAAATGCATCTGAATCTACCCGCATATGTGTATCGGGCATATGAGTGAGAGGGGCAAGGGGAAAGAGTGGGTGGCCCCTTACGCGCTTTTTTAGGAGGAGTCCCGTGTAGTTGGATGGAAGGGAAGGGACTGTCTTGTATCCGCTCTAATCCTTGACGCTCTTAATGTCCAGATAAAGGTTTCCGAGCTACTAAGAACCTAACAGAACTTTTAAAAAGAGAGTTTCTTTTTCACACAATTGTTTTTCGGTGGAGGGTGAAGACCTTATTGACCGATCGACTGAAAGAAGAGGAATTGAAATAGGTTCGACCAGCGATAAAAGAAAGAAGAGTACTATGTCAGCGGAACAAAAACGGATTCGATCTACTTTCTATACTATACGAAATTTTTTCTTGTTCAGCAACAGAATCAGTAAGACAATCGGTCTTCCCTCTCCTGTCTTTGAGGAATTCCACGTGCAAGAGGGTCTACTCTCATTGTTGAGGTACCCCCGTTCACTCCGAGGCCATTCAACGGCCATTCCACGAGGTAAGCCCGCTAACCCCGAAAGTCATTGTCTCCTGGTTCGTTCTTCCTGTGGATTCCCTACCAATCTAAGTAAATAAGGGTTCTCGAACCCCGTCTCTCCCGCCATTGAGGTAAGCGCGGCTATCCCGATCTGGCTAACCATTCAAAGATTTCCCTCGGGGAATTTTTGGCAGGCGCTCTCCGAGCCCTGTGCTTTCCTGTATGTGAGGAAGGGGAGTTATTCTGTTTATGGAAATAAGAAATGCATACACGAAGCAGAAAGTCAGAGATGAACCGGAACTAATAGATGCAGGTTGCGAAGCAATTGCCACAGACTCTCATTCGTTCCACTAGGAAGAAGACTTGCTCCTTCTGAGCCAGGATCAAACTCCTCTATGCGTTTTCCTTCTCCCTATCTTTTCTTTACGCATAGCCTGACCTTAGAGACTGACTCCCCGATGCCATAAATCGACTTAGCTGACTGAGCTCCTCCGCTCCAACTCGACTAGCTACTTGGATTTAAACGAGGGTTTCAGACTGACGCTACTCGTTTAGCTTTTCTTTACACTGAGGCGCTTATTTATCAGCCGTAGTAACGGAAACTACCAGCATCGGTAACTCGTAACTCACTTCATTCGGTCGCCCACCTGGGCTATCCTCACTACACTCCCAATCCTGCAACTGACGCTAAACTAAGCCTTGAAAGAACTAGACTGAGCTGCTTCCTTAGGTTTCACTCCAGGTTGAACTCATCTCTTCCCAGGGCTCTCTTCACTTCAAATAGGAAGTACTAGGCCTAGCTTTCTTTGCTTGACACATAGGTAGTCACCACCCTTATAAACTATAGGTCCTCGAACCCTTGACTTGGAAACTACTCGCCTTAGAAGTCACCACCCTTTCCCTCGCAGCAGAGGTTCTGCAAGAAAGGAGATGCACTAGCTACTTTACTTGGATTTACTTGGCTTTATTTAAGAAGATAATACAGATTTCCGACTCGAACTCCAGGTTTAGCTTTCCCTTTAGACTTTGCTGACTTGGAAGCCGGTAAATCCACAGCAGACTGAATTAGCAGATGCGGGAACTACTTCCCTTTAGGTTTTCAGTCCATAGCTCTTTCATTTAGAACATAGGCCCAGAGGCCTAGCAGAATGCGAGAAATACAATTAGAGGAAATAGCTAATAACATTCGTTCGCCGACCTCGGCTCCATTCAACAAAGAAGAGTAACAGAAGGCGCTCTTTGCTATACAAATAGGCCCAGCTGAACTGACTTAACTGAAGAAGACAGAGAAGCAGGAGTTGATCTTTACACATCGGTAGTGTCGCTACCACTGCAGGAAGAAAGAAAGCGGATATCTCGCGGGTAACATAGCGTTTCGCTTCCCTCTTAGCATCGGTCACTCCCTGAAGCAGTAACGGGTAACTAGCCCTCCGGTCAGTCCTTGGTTTCTTTCTTCCGGGTCACTGCCCATTCAACAAAATTGGCAACTTGCGTTTCTTCTTTCTTCTCGGTCCGCTTTGGCTCCTGATCTTGAGCTCGCTTTTCTTGGCCTCAGGCTTGGCTTCTTCTTGGGGTCCTTGCCCTTCCATCATGGTCAGCCCATCTTTCTC